TGGCAAAGTTGGATATACAGTAGAAATATCTGAAGAGCTGCAGGTATGCTACCCTCCCTTGAGATAAGCCTCTAGTAATCCTTGCAAAGAAAGCAGAAATTATACTCCTAGTTTCCTCTGTCAATTGGCTGCCAGAGGTCACTTCCCCCCTGATGTAGCCTGGCTCCACTGGATAACTTCTGTATATCTGTTTCTTTCTGTGTCGCTACTGTGCTGGGTTTATTTATTTATTTATTTGAACATTTCTATGCCGACCCTTGCCGAAGCCTCGGGGCGGCTTACAACACAATAAAATACAATAAAATACAAAAATAACAATATAAAATTAAAATTAACAATATAAAATAAATATAAAATATAAAAGAAGTCGCCCTGGCCAGATAAATAAGCAAATATTGTTCACAATTAAAATGATGTTTAAATAAAAAGGTCTTCACCTGGCGCCGAAAAACAAATAATGAAAATAAAATAAAATAAATACAAGTGCATTCCATAGATTGGGTGCCACCGCAGAGAAAGCCCTCCTCCGAGTACCTACCCTCCTAATTTCTTTCACGGAGGGTTCCCGAGAAGGGCCTCTCCTGCAGATCTCAGGGGGTGGGCGGGCATATATGGATGTAAGCGCTCCTTCAGGTAACCAGGACCCAAGCCGTTTAGGACTTTATGGGTCATCACCAACACCTTGAATTGGGCCCGGACTTCAATGGGAAGCCAGTGAAGCTGACGGAGGACTGGAGTCATGTGAACATAATGCCCAGTCCCTGTCAGCAGCCTGGCAGCTCCATTTTGAACCAATTGAAGTATCCGGACCGTCTTCAAGGGAAGCCCCACGTAAAGCACGTTACAGAAGTCAAGGCGGGAAGTCACCAGTGCATGTGTCACCGTCGCCAGGCAGTCATACTCCAGGTAGGGGCGCAGCTGATTAATCAGCCGAAGCTGAAGGAAAGCGCTCCTCGCCACCGTTGTCACCTGAGCTTCCAATGAAAGCTCCGGGTCGAGGAGTATTCCTAAGCTGCGGACCTTGTCCCTAAGAGGGAGTGCAACCCCATTCAGGACCAGGTCAAATCCACCCTCTCCGAAGCCCGATCCGCCAACCAACAGGACCTCCGTCTTGTCTGGATTGAGCTTCAGTTTATTGGCCCTCATCCAGCCCATTACCTCGGCCGAGCACCGGTTCAGCACAGCCACTGCCTCACCTGGATTGGTGGAAAACGAGAGGTAGAGCTGGGTATCATCAGCGTACTGATGATTCCGCAGCCCACACCTCCTGATGACCTCTCCCAGTGGTTTCATGTAGATGTTAAACAGCAAAGGGGACAAAATGGACCCCTGCGGTACTCCATGGCATAGCTGCCATGGCGCAGAGCCATAGTCCCCCAGCACTACCTTCTGGAATCGGCCGTTGAGATAGGAGCGGAACCACTGCAAAGCAGTGCCTCCGACCCCCAATCCCGCTAGCCTATCCAGGAGGATACCATGGTCAATGGTATCGAAAGCTGCTGAGAGGTCCAGAAGAACCAACAGGGACGCACTCCCCCTGTCCTTCTCCCTGCACAGGTCATCGTACAGGGCGACCAAGGCAGATTCAGTACCGTACCCGGGTCTGAAGCCGGACTGAAAAGGATCCAGATAATCAGTTTCATCCAAGAGTGCTTGGAGTTGTCCCGCCACCACCCGCTCCAACACCTTGTCCAGAAACGGGATGTTGGCCACAGGTCTATAGTTAGTGGCCATCTCTGGATCCAGTGACGCTTTCTTCAGGACCGGTCGGACTATTGCCTCCTTTAAAGGGGCAGGCACCCGACCCTCCCTCAGAGAAGCATTAACCACTTCCAAGATCCAGGTCCCAGTCCCGTGCTTGGAATTATTTATTAACCAAGACAGGCAAGGGTTATATTGATCTGGTAAGTAAACAAAAGCAGGAAAAGAACAAGCTCTGGGCAGTGCTTTCCCTGCCTTTACTCAGACAGAACCCTCATTGGTGTTGTAACCCCCCTCATAATCAAGCACATAGCCAGGGCATGGCTCATCACGAGTAGCACGTAGCCAGGGCATGGCTCATCACGAGTATCAGGGTGTCCTGTTCGCATGAGAACAAGTACACGAACACGGATGTGCACGCTACGCAAAGCTGACGACAAAGCAGGCTACACTCCAGCATTACCAATATCACCGCAGCCGTTATGCCCTTGTACCCATGCTTGCTTGCTTTTGCATGAAAAATGTGCTCTCCCCTATTGTTTCTCTGTTGTTCCCCTATTGTTCGCTGTCATTCAAGCATAAGTGTAAAAGAGTATAAAAATCAAATGTCTCTCTTCTGCCTGCGACCACACTCTCACGAGTGCATGGTCCCTGCCGGCAGGTAAAAATAAATCTCTCTCGATACTTCCAACCAGTCTCTGGTCTCGTCCGTAAAATCTCGCCATACAACAATTGGAGGCCCCAGCCATCTAACTTCTGATTTTTTTTTTTTTTGGATGTCTGGGGACGACTGTGAAACAAAGGCTGTGTTAATTGACTGTGAAACAAAGGCTGTGTTAATTGCGCACGCGTGTTTTCAGCCGCCGGAGGGTCTATAGGTGTGTATTGCCTATATGCCTCAAGTAGGTGTTCCAAGAAAGCGGAGGGGGATTCCCGGGGGCCTTGTGGTTTTTCAGAGAAAGGGGGGTTCTGCTGTTTCCAGGTATAAATCAATCCAAACAATGCAAAAAAAATGCACACCAAATAAAGCCTTTGTTGAACTGGTGTTGCACTGGTGTTGCACGAACCTGTTGCTTGCCTAGGCTAAAGAGAAATGTGCTTTCTGCTGGACAATGAGATTGCAGAGATGACACTCTTCCACATAGATGCAAAACGCACCAACCCATTGTTAACACAAACAAACCTGAACTAATGCACATTTCATCTAACAATCAATGCTTGCGCATTTAGATGAACATCCTTGGGCATCCTTGGGCTGGCAAATGGGCTCAGTCCCCAACAAACATTAGGCTACTGTAAGGGCATCAGTACCAGTAACAACAGTAACAGCAATATTACTACCATTAATATTTGGCACATTGCAAAAGGAAAAAGGAAACAAAACTTTCTGTTGGACACCAAAGGGAAAAGTAGCCTCATAGATTTGAAAAGAAACTCTTCCTACTGCATACACATACACAGCCCCAGAGTTTCATCCATTTCCTCCCAATCCTTCAGTTGTAACATAGCAAAATAACAAAATGGTATACTCAGAATTCAGAACTTATACCCACACACATATATAAGACCCAGATCCATGTTGCATAGAAAAATAGAAGTTATTGGAGAGGGAAAACTCTTGATGGCTGACACAAATCACATGCTCACAACGTTGCTTTTTGGAAGGATTCCCTTCCTAAAAAAACCCTAGTGACTCATTGAGAGTGCTTGAGGGTCTTTGTTTTAACCCAACCCTTCCCAGGCAGAATTTTTCCAGAGGCAGTACAAGCTCTGAACACTCAAATGCCTTACCTCAGTTACACAACTTTTATTTATTTTCAAGACACCAAGATTTCCTTTTAGAGTTTTCTAGAGACTCAAAGACTTTCTTTGAGAACTAGTGCAAGCCTGCCTCCAATCTGTGGCTGGAAGCGGAGCTGCTCAACCTCCCAAAGTATTTTGAACTCTGCACATGCTCAGAGGCTGTATGTGCTGCTTCTGCAGTACTCACAAAGTGGTGTTTGTGGTATCTTCCTGCCAGAGCATCCCCCCTTTTCTTGGTTCTGTGGAATAGCCAAGTCCACAGAGTCAAGAACTCCAAATTTTCCAGCACAAATCCCTCCTGAATTCAGTTGGCCAGACCAAACCCAGAGAAGAGGCTGCAGTTACTATCTCTTTAAATAATGGGAGTGCTCTTAGCAAGGTAGACTGTTCCTCTTTTTTCATTTGTTTTTCTCCAAAAGTTACACATTTCTTCCCATATTTTTTTCCAGTAGAAAAAGTACCAAATCACCATTTACCAAAACTCTTAGAATTCACTCACATTCCAAACAGCTGCAAGTTCAACAGGGGAAGAAAAACCAACCAATTTGGCAGAAATATTTATTAATGGTCAACTGCAATCTGTCTTCCCCTGATTTTACACTCTGCCCTGTTGAATTCCAGCCTGCTACTGCTCAGGCTGACTGCTAAACACAACAATTTAAATTTGCAAAACTTTACCTGCAATATGTTCCCAATGTAAAACCCTTTCTTTATCTCACTGGGAATCCTTTTCAGGATTCCTACTGAGTATTCCCAACAGTATACACATTTTTTTCCCATCTTTCCTCTGCCCATCAGCATCCCCTCCTGGAATTTCAAACACAATTATTTAATCTCACAAAAAGGAATTTTCCTACTTAGGAGGGCTGTAAGGCAGATGGGAGAGGCAGAAAACTTACATTAAAGACATTAAAACAGTGTTCCTGGTTTCTGACAAGGAAAGGACCTTCATAAAAATGTTTCTATATAACCCCTCTTGCACACAGGGCTTTCACACAGGATAAGCTTATTGAGGATGTCCAGAAAACTGGGTAGGACCTGTGTTTGCAAGCCCAATTCAAGGGCCACACATTTCCTTACTTCCCAGTTTTGGCTCATATACAAGGAATGGGAGAAGGAAAAAATCCCACACACACATGCCCTGATCATCACCTTTTTCCCAGCCGGACTCAGCCATGTTCCTGGCTGGCTCGCCATGCCTGGGCTCAGGCAAATGACCTCATGAATCTTTCTCAATCAAAGCCAGGTTAACACACACTCTCATCTCAGGGGCAAGAACACCCATCCACACCCTTGCTTTCAACCCTGCCCTGAAGAGGACAGATTGGTGCGGCTGCGTGGGGAGCTTCTATTTCCTGAGGAACCCCAAAACCCACTCTGGGCTATGCTATGCTTACCTTCCAGAAAGGGGAACACATTTCAATGCAAACAGAAAACACAGACAGCAACGATAGAACAGGACATAAACCATACTGAGAATCCCAAGTGTCAGATCAACAAAACAGATGACAAAACAGACAAGACAGATGACAAAACATCGACAAAACAGAGAGCAACAAGACAGACGACAAGACAAGACAATCTAAACAGGAACTGAGGCCGGAAGCGACGTCTCACCTCAGACCGGAAAGTAGCCCTTACGCTGCGTCCAGCAGACTTTTCTTTCCAATACCAGATCTGCAGATACTAATGGTGGGTAACCGCCGTGCGCACTTACCGGTAATTCCTCTCTCAGCTAGTCAGACGTCCCACCGAGCCGGGGCAGAGGCATAAGATGCCTGTGGGCCCATCCCTGGTGTCGGCGGGAGGCAAGACAGATAGTCTCAGATCTCGCTGGGGCCTCCAATTGTTGTATGGCGAGATTTTACGGACGAGACCAGAGACTGGTTGGAATTATCGAGAGAGATTTATTTTTACCTGCCGGCAGGGACCATGCACTCGTGAGAGTGTGGTAGCAGGCAGAGGAGAGACATTTGATTTTTATACTCTTTTACACTTATGCTTGAATGACAGCGAACAATAGGGGAACAACAGAGAAACAATAGGGGAGAGCACATTTTTCATGCAAAAGCAAGCAAGCGTGGGTACAAGGGCATAACGGCTGCGGTGATACTGGTAATGCTGGAGTGTAGCCTGCTTTGTCGTCAGCTTTGCGTAGCGTGCACATCCGTGTTCGTGTACTTGTTCTCATGCGAACAGGACACCCTGATACTCGTGATGAGCCATGCCCTGGCTACGTGCTACTCGTGATGAGCCATGCCCTGGCTACGTGCTTGCTTATGAGGGGGGTTACAACATTTGGTTAATGGGGCTTCCTGCCAAAGTAAGTGAGCAAAGGCTTTTTTGCCTTTGCATTGTATAGAATGATGGATCCCATTAAGAGATGCAGAGCTAGGCACAGTGGCATTTAAATTCAAGCAAGGAACAGCCACGCACAAAAGCAGTATGCTGGAAATTATGATTGTTGTGCAAGGACTCCCTTTAGGAAGCTGAATCTCAAGTGCTACTTCTGCATTCCAGTTTTCAGATCCTTGACAAGAATTTGGGGAAACTGGACACCCAGCGGCAACTGCTTTTATACTTCACTAAAGTCTACTATATTCCTAGTACTGGGGGGATTAGGCAATGGCTACAATCTGAAGACCTTGTCTTTCTAGATAGGTCACACTTCTTAGCTTGATCCCAATCCTTTGGAAACCTGAAGGAATCCCAGTTCCCATGTGGGCCTTTTCATTCCTTTTTGGAGCCATGCTCATTGGCAATGATGGAAGTCTTAGTTCAACACATCTGGAGTGTGCCAGTTTGGGGAGGCCCTGTTCTAAAAGCCAGCTCCCTTCAACAGTTAGATGAGGAGTAACAAGGGAGGCAGCCTTTTCAGTGGTGGTCTTGGTATAGAGGTACACTTTGAAATCCTGCTTCTCATCCATGCTCCCAAGGAAAGGCTAAAAATGCAGGCAGCTGTGCTGATCCATGTTTATCACTCTGTGACTGGGCTTGCCCATCGCAACAAGGAATCCTTTTTTTTAATGTATGGATTTATCTGGACCTGTTCATGGTATATCACCAGAGCTTGTTTCAGATGCAGAAACTGCAACAGGAAGCTGCAGTTGCATGTGTTGTTCCTGCTCATTGTGATTGTCTGTCAAGACACATAGCCCCAGGTGTTCCATTTTTCCATTTCTGGTGAAAAACACTGTAGAGTCCTACGAAAAGAGAGTCAACAAAAAAAAGCTGCTTCTGGCATCCTGTCTGTTTACCCACAGCCTCCTAGTGACACTCATGCCATCACTTGCCAAAAGCATGGAGAGAAAGGGGAGAATCACTCCAGAAGTGTTTATTTTAAGCTAAAAAAAGCCCCCTCCTGTGGAGCCTGGTTTGGCTAGGAAGTATTAAAAAGATAGAGATGCAATCAGGAGGGGAAAGAAGGAGAACCCACCCCAAAACCTCAGTCAAGAAGAGGCAGATGGCACTTTCAGGGAACTTTCAGGGAACAGCACAGGAAAAGGGGGATTTTGCTAGTAGTGGCTGCTGGGATGCGTGGTGGGAGCAGGAGAATGGAGGTGGGGATGGAGGATGGTGGAAGGAGCCAGGATTTGTAATTGCCTATTGGGAATGTGTGCTAAGTTACCAGGAGTCATGGCACACGAACGCTCCCTGACCTTTGTTTGTTGTGTTGTGTGAACTCTCCCTGTGTGTGTTTTGCTGGAAAAATCCATTGCTTCCCTTGTGCTATGAGAACTGCAGCTAAGCTCTCAGAGATGGAGGAGGCCTGAAAGAGGTGAGGTGGCTGTTGTTAATTGTTCCTGCTAATCACGAAGTCTCTGCACTTAACTGTGCATCTCTGCAGCAGCAGGTGCATCTTACTCTGCCTTTGATTTTAATGGATCATATGTGAATCTTACTTGATGGTCTTTAACTGCTTCTGATGTTGTATGGGAGGTGGATTGGTGGGCTTGGTCAACTTATTTTCTATTTCATTAGCTGCCTTGAAAGCCTTGCACTGAAAGCTGGGTTAGAAATCTGTGGTCATTCAAGGCAGGAATAGAACATGGAAGACCTCATTTTCTGTCGTTCTGAGTTCTTTCTGAATTGTGCTTCTCTACAAGCAGCAAAGAAACCCGGATCCCAGCTTTTGTAAGCAAGGGTTTTGTATTTCAGTAGCATGGCTAGTATACTGTTGACGTGGCAAATGAAAGCAGTAGTATTTAGTCAATAGCCTTGAAGCTGCTCGTGTTAGGCCTTCCATTAGCCATTAGCAGGGCTGGTATAACTGCTTCCTTCCAGTTATACTGAGCTTTTCCTGCTTCAATGACTGCTATCACCTTGTGGCGGACTCTGCTGCCTGGTGGGTAGCCTCCCTTGGCTCAGAAATGTTTGTTATCTCTCTCATTTCTCTTTTTGTTCTTTGCCTCTTTTAGTCCTGCCCAGTGACGAAACCTGACATGCTGAACGTTCATCTGGTCCCCCACACACATGATGATGTGGGCTGGCTGAAGACAGTGGACCAGTATTTCTTTGGAGGTGAGTTGAAAAATGCTGGGCAGATGTGTGAGAGGGGTTGCGGCACAGCTCAGCGCAGGCCTGCTAGGAAAATGCCTTGTGCCTTTGGCTGGCCCTGGAGGGGCAGTGATGGAGCAAAGGCGGTGGGTGCAGATGACCCCCTGCAGCCGTGGCTCCAGACACGGGCCAGGGCGAGCATTCTCGGATGCTCTTCCCTGCTTGCAGCAGGAGTTCAGTTGCAGAGCACACGGACTAGAACAGGCTCTTGACTGACTAGACCAGGAGTGTGGAAGCTGAAGCCCAGGGTCCAAATCTGGCCCCCGGGGCTTTGCCCAGTGGCCATAACCATGTGTCCCTGACCATCGACTGTTTGGCAGTTTTCTGGCAGATGCACATGTTACAAATGGGGGTTCAGGCAGATTGAGAGAGCCGTGCAAGGAGTTCGTGGCTGAAGTGACTCTTCAGACAGGGGCTTTTTGGCCTGGAACTCCTGCTCTTAACCGTGCTGTTAGCCCTGCTGTGTGGTCTGAGCAGTAGATTGTGTTCCAGGCCCAGGCATGCCTGGTGGTTCTGCCTTGAATCTGAGCAGTATCTGCTAGCAGATCGACCTTGGTGCTTCCACTGGAGCATGGCGTGGCAGCCTTCCTGCTTTGCAGCCCTGCCTGTGTGGGTGGACACAGTGAGCTGCCCTGCAAGGTCAGAGCAGCGCACAGTTGCTGGAGATAAAACCTTCCTTCAGCATCTGGTCACATGGGAGGGTGAAGAGGAAAGCTGGGGGGGGGGGCTGTCCTGCTTTGTGGCTTGTAGGCGCAGCAGGGGGAGCAATTGTGATGAAGTCTGGCTGTCTCTCGGTTGAGCGTCAGTTCATTCTTAGTACTTCATTTCACTGTTGTGAGAACTGTGTGGCTGATGAGGACAGGATGTGAGGGTCTGGCTGTGGCCCCCTGCTTTACAGAGGTCTCTCATCTAGCCCAAGGCTTCCTGGTCCATGAGAGAGGGACCCTGGACTGCACGGGGCATCTCTCCTCAACTTCTCCCCCTCTGTTGTTTTGCAGTCCGCAATGACATTCAGCATGCCGGGGTGCAGTACATCCTGGACTCGGTCATCCCACAGCTGCTGGCAGACCCCAGCAAGCGCTTCATCTATGTGGAAGTGGCCTTCTTTGCCCGCTGGTGGGGGCTGCAGACAGAAGCTATGCGCCAGGCAGTGCAGCAGCTTGTTGCAGAAGGTACGCCGGAGGGTTGGGGCTGCCCTTTGGCCTGCACACGGGCCTAGCAGGCCATGTGGAGGGGGGTGGTCCTGGTCGTGGGGAGCTTTTCTGAGGGAGAAGCAGGCTGGGGGAGAGTAAGGAGAGCTAGCTCAACAGGCTCCCGGCTACTGAGACAGGAACGGAAGGGGCAGCCCTCCTTTCCCTCTGGATGTGTGTCCCGGAAGATTTCCTATTCTCCTTTCAAAAAGTGAGAATCATTTCCCACACTTACAGGAGTCTATCCACTCCTGTGTGCCTGCATGAACCACTGTTCTGAGCAGGCCTCCCGACTAACGGAAGCTAATCCCCGAACAGTGACTAATGCAGAGGCTCCATGAGAAGCCTCCTCTGGTGATGGGTGACTTGTTATTAGCTCTTCTTAAACATTTATTTTTATTTTTTCTGGTGGTTGGAATTTCTGTTCCTGTGGCCCCATAATCCAGTGGTTGGATCAGGTGGACTTTGTGGGGTCCATTCCAGTTGCTGCACCCTAGCGACATGGGCAACGTGCCCACATCAGTGCAGTCGCCTGGGTGCCTCTTGATCCTTGCCCTTTCCGGCCAATTGGAATCAGCCAAAGAGGTGCAGAGTGGATCCAGGAAGTGCCGAATGCCTCTCTGGATGAAGAGGAGCTTCCTGCTGACCTCGAGGAGGCAGTGCTACGGCCACTCCTGAAGGAGCCCGCTCTGGACCCGGCAGGACTGAGCAATCACCACAAGTCCCTCTTTCTTAGATAAGGCACCTGAGAGGCTTTGCCAGAACAACTGTGGCCCCTCTTGGCTTCAGCCTGGGCATGGGGCAGAATCAGACTGGGTCACCCTGAGGAGTGCCCTTGATTGGGTCAGGGAGAAGGAGAGGGAGGGGAGACCTGTTAACTCTGCTCAGGCTCTCATCAGCTTTTGCCAGCGCTGCGGACGGCGTTCTCTGCATCGCTTCGGCAGGCGGGACCAGGAGGCTCTGTGTTGCCGGGCTTCTCTCACCTGCAGGGCCAATGTCAGAAGAACGTCAAGTGGCTGTTCCTTGGCAACTGAGGTCTGGGGCTTACAGGATGTCACCTTGTCCCGGTGTTGTTTAATCTCTTTCTGAACCCACTGGACACGGCCGTTAGAGGATTTGCTGATGCCACGCAGCTCTCTCTTCCAGGGACAAATGAACCAGCTGAGGCGGGGAAGTCCTGGGCCTGTGCCTGGACTCAGCAAGCAGCTGAGCGAGGGCCAGTAAAGTGAGGCGGCGTCCTGGCAAGACAAAAGGAACCCGTGCCCCTGGGAGGTGGTGGGCTCTCCCACTCGAGGCATTCAGGGGGCAACCGGTCAGCCATCGGAGAGGGATGCTTTACCTGGGAGTCCTGCACTCAGCAGGGGTTGGACCCAAGGCCCTCTGGCCCAGAGTGCCTTCCCCAGTATCAACCGGATCACCAGCCTTTTCTGGCCCCAGTGCTACAAGTACTGGTAACCTCCAGGCCGGCTTTCCGCAGTGCACACTCTGGGGGAGCGCCCTGAAGGCTGCCCAGAAGCTGGAGCTAATGCCGAGTGCAGCAGCTCAGCTCTCCTCGGGAGCTGCCCCTTTCCGGGCATGCAGCTCCTTGGCTGAGGGCGCTGCACTGGAGCCCTTCCGCTGGCCAGGTGTACGGGTTGGGTGCGAGTGCGTAAGCCCCCAGGCACCTTGGGGCAAACATGTGGGAGAGCGTGTCACAGATCCTCCGGTGGCACATTCCTGGCGGTTCTGCACTAGCCTTTGGCCTGGCCAGAGTCTGCTGGCATGGTCCCTGCTGGGTGGCCCTTGCAGCCTTCAGAGGGCGGGCGGGCAGACGGGCACCAGCACAGTCATTGTTCCTGCCCATGGAATGCACCTTTATTTCCAGAAGCGCTCTTTGATTGACCAGCCGCATATCTTAATTGGCATTCTGCCTTTAATGTTTATTTTGGTATGTTTGAATGCAGTCTTCTGCTGTTCACTGCACCAGGATTTGTTCAGATGTGGAGCAGTGTATCGGGGTTGTAAAATAACACTGCTCGCTTCAGTCTTCCATCTGGTTTCCACACTGCAGTTCACAGCATGTGGCCTCCCGCCGGCACAGCTAACGGGGCTGGCTGCTGGGAGCTGTAGGGGGGCCTCGGGTGGCCCACTCCTTTTCCAAAGGCTGCTTCCCCACAGGGGTCCTTGGTCCGACTTTCAGAGGCTGTGCCTGCTCGGCTTCTGCATCCCCCGTCCCCAGGGGCGCCTTCCACGGAGGGGCTGTGCTGAGGGGCTCCAGTCCCACCAGGCCGTTCTCTCCTCTTCTCCATTCCTTGGCAGGCCGCTTGGAGTTTGTGAACGGCGGCTGGTGCATGAATGACGAGGCCTCTGTGCACTACAGCGCTGTCATCGACCAGATGAGCCTGGGGCTCCACTTCCTGCAGAAGACATTTGGCGAGTGTGGCCGCCCCCGGGTGGCCTGGCACATCGACCCTTTCGGGCACAGTCGGGAACAGGCCTCCCTCTTTTCTCAGGTCGGTCCGGGTTCCCAGGACATTCCTCCTGCCCGCCCCACGCAGTCACCCTGCGCCTGCCCCAAGCATCTCGCCACACTTCCCCCCTCCAGCCCAGCCCAGCCCAGCCCAGCAGGCCGTGGCGCTTGAATTGGCGCCCTGGCCTGAAACCTCGCAGCTCGTCTTCGTGGCTGGGCTCCTCCTCCGCTTGCTGAGCACTCGGCCTGCCTCTCCTTGTTCCCTCCAGATGGGCTACGATGGCCTCTTTGTGGGCCGCATTGATTACCAGGACAAGGCCCGGCGCGAGGCCCTGAGGGAGATGGAGCAGCTCTGGCGTGCGAGCGGCAGCCTGGACCCTCCTGCGGCTGACCTCTTCACGGGTGAGGCAGGAGCCCCTGCTTGCCCTGGTCTGGGGCCCCCCGGCTTGACCTTCCCTGATGTGGGGCCCGCCACGTGTTTCAAATTCCAGCTGTTGCATTTGTATCCCACCCTGTCTGCAAAGAGCCTGCGATGGGACCTGCGATCCTCTTCCGTTTTATTGCCACGGCCGCCTTGTGAGACTGTGGGTCAGAGGGTGGCCCAGAGTCACCCAGTGGACGTCATGGCCAGGTCAGGACTGGGCTCTGGGTCTCCGAGTCCCTGCCCAGCACTCCCACGCATGCACTGCGCTGGCTTTGGTCCCCCAGGGAGCACACGCACACCGTTGGCTGTGCTGCTAGGGCTGATGGGAACTGCAGTCCAACAACATAGAGGGGCAGCACCTGGCACAAAGTTGGTATAGCTTAACAGTACCCAGAAGGTCTAGTGCAGCTTGACATCTGTGCTATAAATGCATGTGTTCACCAAGGCAATGCCCTTCAAAAACGGATCCGGTCCTCAAAACACGAGGATCCTTTAATCCAGCGGTGTTATGCCTGAATAACACATGTTCTGCCTAACTGTTCCTGCCTGTCCCAGACTAGATGGCCCAGGAGGCCCCTTCTGACTCGCTCTGTTTCTGTGTTTCTCATTATCCATTGTCAGGGATACTTTGTGCAAGTCAGTGCAAATCTAGGTGTCAGTTGGCGCACAGGAAAAAGCAAAATCGCAACGCAAACTATTTTCCCTGATGGCCTCTATTGTGAAATATTTCCACATGTGGAAGTGTATTTACTCTGCAAGCCTAAGCATACAGACTTGTCACGCATTGGGCTTGGTCTGCTGGTCTGAAAGCATGAAGGGCTTGGGTTGCAGTGTTATGAGCCCTGGCTCATACTGTAACTTGCCCATCGGGCTGAGAAAACATTTGATGAAGCTCACACAATGAATTTCAGTGTTGAGTGCAGTCCGGTCCTATGGGCTATGTAGGTGCCTTGCTGTGTGTGCATATGCAGGTGTGACTTGCATGTGTGCACAGTTGCCTTGGATGGCTTGGTCAAGCAAACCACGTACACACATGCACTGCTGTGGAGGACACAAGCACATGTGCTTGGAGCGGCCCCTGCCTGCTGTGTCGCTTCCTGTAACCCCCTGAGCAGAAGCCCTGCTCAGTCTTTTCTGGAACCTGAGTTTCCCTCTTCTGCCCTTGAGCACTGATGGTCGAGATTCTGGGGTCTCCCTAGCCCCACCTCCTGGAAGGCCCCACCTTCAGTCCCACCACTGTTGTTCACCTGGCCACCTGCCTTTAACATCTGGACTGCAGTGGGTAGGAGGAAGTCCTGGCTTGCTCAGGGTGCCGTCCCCGTTTCTCCTGTCTGTGCCTTGGTAGGTGTCCTGCCAAATGGCTACGACCCGCCCACCGCGCTCTGCTGGGATCAGATCTGCTCGGACAACCCAATTGTGGATGACGACAGTGATGAGAACAATGTGAAGGAGCTAGTAGCCTACTTCCAGGGAGTCGCCACTGTTCAGGTGAGAGCTGGGCGACGGGGTTTGGAGCGCGGGGCCCTCTTCTCAGGTGGGATGGAATCTCGGCTGGGGGATGCAAGTGCATTGGACAGAACAGAGCTGCAAGGTGCCCTGTGGCTCATTTCTCATGGTTCCTCAAGGCTGGTGCAGCGTAACGGCTTAGAGTCTGAATGATGAACTGGGAAACTCCTGGTTTGACTGCGGAAGTGGAACTTACACTTGCTGGGTGGTAGCCTGATTCCGTCTGGATATTTTAGCCTGGGATTCCCACCATGCTTGTCCAGCTCCCCCAGACGGGGGCTGATAGCAGTTGAAGTTCAAGACATCAGGAGAGCACGAGCTTAAATAGTCATCTGTCTTGATCTGTCTCTTGGTTTCAGTAAGGGAGAGAATATGATTTCTCATACAGAGTTGTTACAGGATTGCAACTAGATAATGCAGAGGAAGCCCCTTTGCAAACTTTGGTGTGGAAGGGGTCCTTGGTGCCTGCATGGAAAGGAGTTCCCATCCCAATTCCCAACATTGTTCCCTCAGGCCAAATACTATCGCACCAACCACATTGTCATGACAATGGGCTCTGACTTCCAGTACGAGAATGCGCACCTTTGGTACACGAACATGGACAAGCTAATCAAGCATGTCAACGCACAGGTAATCTGGGGCATGGCCTCAGCCCTGCGGTGAAGGAGCCACAGAACAGGGCTGCGCGTGCTGGGGCGGACTGGGCAGGGCGAGACACAAGCCTTCCCCCCAGAGCTGTCCAGGCGAAGCGCCCGGCCCATCTTGGTCTGGTCCAGGGAACTGGTGTTGCCCTCGAGCGTCCCATCAGAAATGGTGGCACGCTGATGGTTAACCAGCTGTGACTTCTAATTGATGGTGGGTCAACATGTCATCTAAATGCAGCAATGTCCTGTGGCTTACAAACCACCCCAGTTGCCCATGGCTTGCTGGGGGCTTAAGTAACCTACCATGGAACAGTGGACACCCTAAGCTCTGACCAAGCCAAAAGTTAGGCGTTCCCTGGTCTGAGCAGCCAAAAAAAGCGTTTCTGCTCTGGCCGAGGGACTCTTGCTGATGACAGCCACCAAAGTGCAGCTTTTCCCAGGTTCCTGCTGATGCTTAAGAGAGAGATGGATTGCTGTGGAGCAGTCCTCTTCTCCGCTGCCATCAGCCAGAGTCTGGGGGAAGCCACAAGTGTCCTCAGCACACTGTCTGCCCAGAGTCTGGACATGGGGAGGTGGCATGCAGCAGAGCTTGGTCTTGCTTCTTTGCGAGGAGACGAGGCCGTGCGGCTGGCCCCCATCCATTGCCGCCACTGCTACAGCAGCGACAGGCAGGACCCTGCAGCTCTGCTTGCCTTCTTCGTGAGGGCGTGAGAGCAAGCAGCTGCCCCTTACGACCCAGCATGAGGTGGCCCTCCCCTTCTTGCCCTTGCACTCCAGCCCCTGGCCCAGCTCCCCTGCCAGCGCTGGGAGGGCCGGGCTGCTTGTGAGCGATCCCACCCGGTCAGCATTAGCAGGAGTGCTGGGCAGGGGAGCAGGTGGCAGCTGCTGAGAGGGCTCCGTTTCAGCCACTGTCGTCCTGTTCCCCGTGGGATCCTGCAGGAGAACTGGGCACAGGGAGGAGGGACACGGCCCCTGGCTGTGCCTGATGGTTTGTCATGCACAGAGAACTTTACCTCCTTGCTAATATGTCAGTGGGCTGAACCAGGGAGAAGAATGGTGGGTTCTGGTGCTCCCTCATTCACCTGTCAGCAAATTCAGAGCCCTTCATGCATGCGCCCCTGGGCTGTCCTGTGGTCCCTGCCTCCAGCAAGCAGCAGGAAGCAGAGGAAAGGCAAAGCTGCTCTTCTCATCCCATCCCAAACCCCTGGAATCGAGAATGAGCCCTTTTCTCTCTCTGTCCACTTCCTGCCCTCCCTCGGCAGCAATGGTATCTCCCTCCTTGGAGCAAGAAGAGAAAGAGCTGGCCTAAAAAATCCAAGCATAACAGGGCTGCTGCTTTCATTCGTCTTGTTCCTTCCACAAATTGAATGATTGTCCTAGCCGCGTGCTAGGACACGTCCTCTTCCTTCCTAGCCACGTCCCCTGTTGGTCCTCATAAAATCAAGGGCTGGGATCTTCTTTATATCCCTCTGTTTGTGGAAGTGCGGCAAGTTCCAATAACTTGCCTCTATTTGCAGCCTCCCATGCTATTCTCAAAGGTCTTTAACCCTGAAATCCAGAAGCGACTTTCAGGGGGCTGAAGAGGGAAGGAGGACATAGGTGGGCCCTTCAGCCCTGCTGTGTTCCTGCGAGGAGGGTTGATTTTGGGCCGGGTCTGGTTCACATATAATGACAGCTTGGAATTCAGGCTGAGTGTGGGTTGTCCGTGGTTGCTCTGTACAAATCCATGGTTTCTTGTTGGATTGCGAAGTCGGGGGTGTTTGTGGTTAACAGCCCATGGTTAAATCCATGGAGTCCTGCACTGAATGGGACTCGGACTCAGTGGCCTTATTGGCCCCTGCCACTCTTGTGTTCCTGTGGACGGTGGAGCAGGGAGGTGCATGTAAGTGCAACCCACAACACAAACATAGCCTACATTCAACCTGTTCTCTGGGTGGCTACTGTGTATGTGTGTGTGAACCAGGCCCTGGTGTCTTTGGCTGATGCAGCTCAGACCATATCAGAAGAAGGCTAGAGCTACATTTGTTGGGGGCATCAAAACTAAAACAAGCACCAGGCATTTCAGGCTCTGTCGCACTCTCCAAGTCCTGCCGGTATGCCTGACCCTTCCTGCAGTGCGTGGGTCGCCTGTTGATTTCCTTGTTTCTCTCTCCCAGCAACTGAGTGGGAGCCGCATCAATGTTCTCTACTCCACTCCAAGCTGCTACCTGTGGGAGTTGAACAAGGCCAACATGTCATGGTGAGAGGGCGGGGAGTGGCTGGGCTTCAGTGCTGCCATGTTGTAGCAGGAGCGTTTTCGGTGGGGCTCGCCTCATCCCTCTCGTTCTGAAGCGGGTGTTTAATTTGGCTCCACCTCTGGGAGTCCATCCCCGAATGAGAGCAGAGGGGCCTGGGTTGCAGTAGAAGGAGAATTGTTTGCTGTATAGCCCCCCTGTAAACAGCTGCCACAGTGGTACAGAACTTTAAAAGCCTGGAAAAATGGAAAGTACAAGAAAAATGTGAAAAACTGTCTTTTTCCCCAGAGATTTTTGGAGAACTTGAGGGAAAAATATTTCTCCCTAGCCTTCACATCTCTAAAGTAGAACTCCCTGCCCAAGTTAGTGCTTTAAGAATGCTTGACTGTTACTTGGCAGTATTGGACTCAAGAGGGAGTTGAGGGTGATAGGCTGTTCCGCTGACCAAACACCTGCATTGGACAGGTCTGTAAAATATGACGACTTCTTCCCGTACGCGGACGGGGGCCACCAGTTCTGGACAGGCTACTTCACCAGCCGCCCAGCTTTGAAAGGCTACGAGCGGCTCAGCAACAACTTTCTGCAGGTCGGTGGTCGTGCTCTTTTATTAGGCGGGAGACCAAGAGCTGGGTGTGTCCCTTCTCCTAGTGGGAGAAGAAAGGGAGACCCTGAGAGCCCAGGTCCTGGTCCTGCTCTGCCTCCTGCTTAGCCTCAAGCCCGGCTAGCGCTGGTCTTCTCTGATGCCGCCTCCTCCCTCCCATAGGTCTGCAACCAGCTGGAAGTGCTGGCTGGTAAACAAGCAAATGTGGGGCCATATGGCAGTGCCAACAGTTCTGTGCTGCGTACGTATGTATTTAAAATTACAAGTTGCTCATCATCCACAGACAAATTCAGTATAGAAACCAAACAGTTTCATACTAAAAGCAAACAACCGCCACTCAGTTCAAATAGCGCGTGCGTGCGTGCAGTGTTAAATGCCTAGGAAGGAAGAAACATTTTTAATTTGTGTTGTAAAACAAAATTGATGCCACTTGGGCCTCCTCTGGCTGGTCACTGAGAGTCAAGGTGCTACTGCAGAGAAATGCGCATCATGTCCCTTCATGGGTGTATACTATATCTGTCCCTGGAAGAGTATTTAGCGAAGGAATTTGCTGAAGAGGTTAATCACGGCCAGGGCAGTATGGGAAGAGGTGGCCCATCAGATTGTTCGTTGTTGTTCAGTCGCAAAGTCGCGCCCGACCCATCGGGACCCCATGGACAACATTCCTCCAGGCTCTCCTGTCCTCCGCCATCCCCTGGAGGCCACCCAGGCCCACACCCACCGCCCAGTGGCTCGGATTGGGAGGGGATCACTGGGTGGGCTGGATCCATCCGGATCGGCTGCTAAGAGCGCAGCAACAGCAGCAGCTGCTCTCATAATGGCCGTGGGAAGGCTTCAGCCACAGCCGGAGCTGAGGGATCTGTGGGCTTAGGCAGACGGACAGTGGAACAGGCCAGCAGGAGGGCAAGGCGAAGAAGGGGTTCCTGCATGGTGAGGCCCATACTGGGCTGTGCTGGCCGGGAGTGTCCCCTGCCTCTGTCCCGGGCTGGTGTGCCGCGACACCCCAGCTGTCTTTTCCATACAGGCCAGGCCATGGGAGTCGCTCAGCACCACGATGCAGTGAGTGGGACGGCGAAGCAGCATGTGACCAATGACTACGCCAAACAGCTGTCCCTGGGCTGGGACACCTGCCAGGTGTGCGCACGGAGCCCCTAGAGGGGCCCCCGCCTCGTTTCCCCCCGTTCCTCCCTTGCGTGCACACACAGGTGAGCAGGGCTGGATGAAACAGGCCCGCGGCTGCTCCTCTCACTCCTCCGGTCTCCAGCGAGGTGATGGTCCATCCCTGGCCCAGGCAGCCTTCTCCGGCTCCGCCTCCATTTAGCTCCCTTCTTGGGGGAAAAACTCGGGCAGTAGGACGGTGAAACATCACAGAACCTGTGGCAAGAGCGGAGGGGCTGAGCACACTGGGCCAGAGCTCCCGGCTTGGGAGGCACGTTGCCAAGAGGGCAGGGCAGGGCAGGGACGGTGCTGCTTCCCCCTCCCAAGCCTGCCGTACGACACGGCATACACATCTGCCCTGACCCCAAGCCTTTGCGTGAACTTCACTCGAGTTCCCCTTGCTGTATTTCTAAACCATCGGGTGTCTCTGTGGTGGGAGCAGCCAACTTACCTAAGTTCCCCTTTTCTCTGACTTTGCAGATTGTGGTCAGCAATGCCCTTGCCAGTATTGCCGGCAGCAAGGAGAACTTCATCTATTGTACCTACCTCAACATCAGCGTCTGCCTGCTGACGGAAGGCGCCCAAAGCGTAAGGACTGCGGCTGTTGTCTAGGCCCTCGCCCCACGTAAGGCCTGAACTGTGCTGCCCACTGGGCCACCTCCAAGTCCCGAGGGCCGTGCTTTGCTTTGGAGAAGGCCTTCCCTAGCTATCTTACACAGCCAAGCAAATCTGCATGCCACAGCCGGTTTAACATGCCGCTTTTCTGCCCTTGCAGTTCATCGTCATTGCCTACAACCCTCTGGCGCGCCCCGTAGGCTGGAACATCCGCCTGCCAGTGAATGGAAGCCGCTACTCTGTCTTGGCCGCGGACGGCCAGGCTGTTCTGAATGAGGTAGGAGACAGGCAGCCTCCGCTCCCCAGTGGCATTCTTTCCCAGCCAGCTGCTGTCCGGGGGTTTTGGACTAAAACTAGCCAGTCCCAGCCAGCATGGCAGTGGCCAGGGATTTGCAGTCTGAAGCGTCTGGTGGGAAGGCCGCCTGCGACTTGGGATGCTTCAAGTAGCGTGTGGAGTTGGTGGGCACCACTCACCAAACAGGGGATTGTGAGCAGCCCAGTAATTCCATCTGTGGTGTGACCTTGTGTTTGGGGGATTATGTATTCATGCAGGGTAGGGGACAATGCAAGTCTATTCATTTGCAAACAAAACTAAACCTCAAACAAGGACAGTCAATAAAGAGTTACTATTTTATTAAAATGCAAACTCAAATGCTGACACTCTTATCAGTCATCCTGGTGGTTTTGCATTCACTGGCCAAGAAAATAGGATTATTTCTTATCCAACATTTGGATAGAAAATTGCCATTGGTGTTCTGTGTAAGCAAAAGAGTCAGGCCTCTTTTTGGTTTTTAAATGAAAGCAAAAAATGTGGAGAAGAGGGCCAGGTCTCACTTAGCTGCCCTGTGCCCACAGTCTTACGTGTGGCAAGAAAAGTGTCCACTTAACTACCATGGATTTGTAAAGATCAACATCTTTCTTGGCCCTCTGCTGAGTAGAAAATCGTGCGAATCATGAATTGTGGAAATGACCCTTCTCCTTGCCAGGTGATCCCTGTATCAAGTTTCACCCGCGCCGTACGGCGTGATCAGGGCAGTGCCATCAATGAACTGGTGTTCCAAGCCTCCCTCCCACCAGTAGGCTATACCACCTACTCCATCTCCAGGTTGCCCGGTGGGCAACCAGTGCTCCCCAAGCCTCTGAAGAAGCTGCACCATCAGCCTGGAGCAGAGCATCTTTCCTGGTCGATGGAGAATGAGGTATGGCATTTCCCTTCCCTCTCGTTGCACTCGCTCTGCCTTGGGCTGCCTGGCCAGTTCTGCACTCCTTTCCTCTTCTACGTACAAGCCTCACCTACAAAGGAAGTGAAGGGGGAAGCTGGAAGCGAGGGAGACGCATGTCCCGTCCCATTCCCCCAGCTTGGGTGCCTTCTTGCTGCGTGATGGGAGTTGTTGCACACTCCACCCGAAAGGGGCCAGCTGGGAAAGGCTGCTCTGCCATCTAAGGCAGGTTTAGGTAAATTGTGGGCCAAAACCATAGGCAGTGATGAGCAGTGGTGAGAATTGTAGGCCGGGCCATTTGGAGAACCACAGGTTGGCTGCCTCAGCTAAGGGCTGCTACACAGCAGGCTGTCCAGGTATTTGTGGCATTTCTATGGCCAGCGGTGGAGACATTCACCTGCATTGCTTCCAGGACATGAACAGGGTGGGAGGCAGGAACGTGGCAGCCCCCCGTTCCATGCTGTGCCTCACTTGCCTGAGGACAGATTATAATGGATTGCACACCAAAATGCACTGGGCGTTTTTCAGGAAACTGCTTTCCCTCTCTGCCGTGCTCTTGTCTGCTGCCATGCATGTAAGGTGTCCGTGTGTTTTTTCCCTTTCGCTTCTCCCGATCTAGTATGTACCCAAAAGACTGGCAATCACATTGTCGACAGCACTTCAGATTGCATTGGCTTGGCTCACTTTCAAAAGACAGCTGCATTTCCCCAGGGCAAAATCCAGTACTTTGAGCAATAGGCCAATAAGAGATTCCCAAACCAGATGCATGACCTTCAGGTACCAGAAAAGGTATCTGGATTTTCCATTCTTAGTTCCCAAATATCTGTTTTTTAGTTTTATTATTTTGATGTAATTTTTACAATATTTCAGCAAACATCAGCAAAAAACTGCTGAAGATACAAAGCAAGAGCAACTGCTTGTGTTGAGAAAGGGGCCTCTACGGGGCACTTTCCCATCATGTGCACTAATGATGCTTCTGCTGCCCCCATTGCCAACATTTTTTAGAGTTATTGTTTGTTTATTAGTTTCCAATACCTGTTTTGTTATACATTTTAAACCAGGCTATGTTAAAAATAATGTATCCTCGAGGCTGAGACAAACAGTGGGATTAACTTGTGGGGAAATACATTTGGCGTACATTCTTGACAATGCCAGTTTAGAAACAAAACTAGCTGACATGGGCAGTCGTCTTTCATGGAGGCTTTCCAGAAAGTACTAAAAGTGCTGCGGCAGAGGTGGGGCGCTTGCTTAGGTACCGAGTCAAGTGAGATACCAAGTGATGCAGTTTGCTAGTTAAAAAGTGTGAGCATCATTCTGAAAGCAGTTTTGCCTGGACTGAGCTCTCTCTCATTCCTATACATCCTGCCAGGCACACCAAGACCCATTTTCCTGAAGCTACGGATTGCATCTCTCTTACTTTCTTTTCCTTTGTCCACCCCTAGCATCTCCGGGTTCTGTTTGACCCCAAAACAGGGCTCCTGAAGGAGATTGAGAACCTGGACAAGAACATCTCCTTACCAGTATCCCAAAACTTCTTCTGGTGAGTCAAATTGACACTGGCCTTCCGCTCTGGCAAGTGGGGGTGGTAGGAGCACAAGCTGGCGCAGTGTGGCTGCCCCCTGCTTGTGCGGGAAGCTTCCCCCCTTGTGTCCAGGGGCCACGGTGGACAGCTGGGCTCCCCTCTGCTGGATGGCGTGTGGGTGGCTGTTGGTAAGAGGTTGCTTGCGATGCCTGTGGCCACCTTTTCCATGCCTTGGCCGACTCTGCAGGTACAACGCCAGTGCTGGGAACATGGACAGTAGCCAGCCGTCCGGAGCCTACATCTTCCGCCCCAACCACTCTGAACCGTTTGCTGTTGCTCACGGAGCCCGTGTGTCCCTTGTGAAGGTAGGACAGCACAAGTGCTGGCTGGCCACGAGACTGAAGGCTGGGTAGGAGGACCTGCGTGGATGCCTCCTCCGTCGTGCGCAGCAGCCACGAACGAGCTGCCGCTGTGCCCCTGGGTGCTCTGCTCCCGAAATCCCACATTCCATCCCCAGAATGTGCTTGGCACCTTCCGCGGCCCTGCTGGAACCACGCTGCATGTTTTTGCTTTGCCTTGCCGTGGAATCTCAAACAATGCCTTGACGTAGGTAGACTGAAGAAGAGTGGTGGCATTGAGGAGCCCCAGAACTATGCGGGTGCCAGGCGGCGGTGGCACTGCCTAGTTGCAGGACAGAGATGAGGAGCCCGGGCTCTCCTAGTTTTCAGCAGTGGAGTCCTGGGGTGGGGATTACCTCGAGGACCTACTGCAGCAGCCGAGGCAGCTGGCCTGCAACTCCCGTCAGCACTAAGCAGCATAGCCGATGGCACGGGATGGTGCTGGTAACTGCAAGTACAACATCTGCTTGGCCCCACATTCCCCACTTCTGTCCCTGCCACTGGTGCCTTTTCTTGCAATGGCTCTGCAACAAACAGCAAGTTTCTCTAAGTTCTGCAGCAGTGGAGTGGCCAGAATTAGCAGAGAAGACCTGCTCTGTTCCTCTGTAGTGAGCAGAAGAGGAAGAATGCGTCAGTCCCTAAGAGCCAAGGCATGTAAGCTCCGAAGCATCATTTCTTATGGCCATGCCATGCTGAGTTTCTTGTTTCCACAAAGGTTTCCTCTGCCTAAGGATTACGGAGCATCCAGTAGCGCTTCGTTTGTGGCTCCTGTGCATCTGAAACCAGCCTCCCTCCCCTTCCCCAGTTCCGTTTGCACCCTCTGTACATGAGCCCCAGCGGGTGCTGTTCCTTTTGCCAGCGAGGGTTGTGTGTCAGTGCCAGGACAAGATCCACATCCTAGGTCTTTACCCTGCAGACCCAGGTGGTGCAGGAGATGTACCAGAACTTCTCTGACTGGTGCTCCCAGGTGGTGCGCCTCTATCCTGGGCAGCCCTATGTGGAGCTCGAGTGGACAGTCGGACCCATCCCCATCCGGTGAGCACAGGAGGCTGGGGTGGGGGAACCCTCCCTCCCTCCAGCTCCCTGGGGCGCCCCGCTGACCATCCTGCTCTGCTGCCGCAGGGACGGCCTCGGCAAGGAGATCATCAGCCGCTTTGAGACAAACCTGCAGACCGACGGGCTGTTTTACACTGATGCCAACGGGCGCGAGATCCTGCAGAGGAGGTACTGCCGGGGGAACCCGGAGGAGCGGGCTCTTTGGGTACTGCAGTGGCCCACGGTGAGGCTGAACAGGAGCCAATTGCACAGACATGGGGGCTGATGTGGTGCCGTGGCCTGGAGCTGGAAAGTCCTTTTTTAAAAAAACTAAAGAAACTCCGCAATGAGCAGATGGGATCGCCTTCAGCCATCCCCCATATTTCATCCTCGGTGCAACGGGCTGCCACCCCGTTGCTGGGGCTTTGTAATAGGGGAAGGTACAGGCTTAATGTACAGTGTACACCAAGGATGCACAAATCGAGGCCTGGGGCCTCATCCGAGCCTGCGGGGGCCCCAGGCTGGCTCTGCCCTTCCCCTCAGCCACCAGTCCCTCACTGGCTCCCCAACTCTCGTGCAAATCTCCCTGCATTCTGAAAGCTCCAAATGTCTTTCCTAAAGCTTAATCATCATTGCTGGCAAAATTATAGGGCGGCACGTCTTGCCCCGTCCCTTTTGCCTTTGGCCATGCCCACCATGGGGACGTGTCTGCTGAGGCGGTTCCTGCCTCGGCATGGAGGAGGTGCTGCCCCCCTGCAGGAGTCGAGTTTTCCTGGTGCTGCTGCTGCTGCTGGCCCCTCCGGGTCCATTTTGCTTGGCTTCTGGTGCGTGGGGAGTGGGTGGGGGGGGGGGAGACAAGCAATCAGTTGCATTCCCTGGAGCCAGGTGTGGGGGAGCCTGGCTCCCCCAAATTCTAGCCAGCTGAGGTAAATCGGGACAGTGAGCTCCCGCTTCTGCTCTCCTCTTCCCCCGGTCAGGCGCAATTACAGGGCCACGTGGAACCTGACCCAGACCGAGCCCATTGCTGGCAACTACTACCCCGTGAACAGCCGCATCTACATCAAGGTGAGAGCGCCCTGAGCGGGGTGGCAGGCCGGCTGCTCCTGGGAGGTGCGGCTGTAGGACTGCCCATGCTGTGTCGCCGCAGGGAAGGTGTGGGCGGCAGCCGCGGTCTTTCAGGGGCGGCGAGGGCACAGGTGCCACGGAGCCCCCGAGCTGCAGGTCTGCAGCACACACCGCGTTCTGGGCACACGCACGCCTGCAGCTGCAGCCTCCGGCTCTCTCTCTCCTCCTCCCAGGACCCGAAGATCCAGCTGACGGTGCTGACGGACCGCTCGCAGGGGGGCAGCAGCATCCTGGACGGCTCTCTGGAGCTCATGGTGAGCACAGTAGTTTGTCCATGGAACGGGCAGAGCGGGCCTCCCGCCGTGCTCTCTGTTGCGGACGGCTTGGCGCCACCACCCTTGCGAGAGCCCTGTGTCTCTCCAGTCCGCTAGACCAGGGCTGCCGAAGCGCTTTCGGCCAGAGGGTCGGCATCAAGCGGAGGGCAGGGCCAAAGCCACCAGCAGATTTGAGCTCAACACTCTTCATGACAGTCGCTAAGCATTAGGCCTGTAGTCCTTGAAAAGTAAAAGGTCGGGGGACTGCACAAAAGCAGGGAAGCAAACGGCTTCGCTGAAGCAACCCGCTGTGGCTCGTTGGGCTGGGCAGGCCAGGTCTCTGTGCGCACTCGCCTGTCAACAAAGTGGGTGCTGCCACCTGGGGGCCACCAGAGGGCTGGATTTGGACCCCGGGAGGGCAGGGTGGGCCTGAGGGGCAGCACCTTTCTGTGTTGGGTCCAGGGAGAGTGTGGAGGCCTGAGAAGCTAAGAAACTGCATGGGAAATTGTCCACAGCCACGAAAGGGTGGGGGGCTGTCCAAGCAGTGAGAAAAGCCGCTTAAATAAGAACAGCACCCAGGTGGGCTAGAAAAGAGGCCACCCGTTCTTCCCGTCTTCTCCGCCTGCCGCCCTGTGCTTAGGTGCATCGGCGGCTGCTGTACGACGACCACCGCGGTGTGGGGGAGCCGCTGCTGGAGCCGGGGGAATACTACGATGGGCTCGTGGTGCGGGGCCGCCACCTCCTCCTCCTGGACACCACGGAGTCCTCGGCAGAGCAGCACCGGCTGCGGGCCCAGCAGGAGTTCATGGCGCCCCAGGTGGTGCTGGCGCCTGGCAGGGGGCCGCCCTACCAGCCTGGCCAGGACAGCCTGAAGGAGGTGAGGGGCACATCGGGGAAAGGCAGCGGAGTTGCCCGGGGGTAAGGGGTGGGGCATGTGCTGGGCGCGCAGGCCCAGCTGCCGCCAGTCCCTGCTCCGGGCGGGTTGAGAGAGAGAGTGCAGAGCCCCTGCTGGAGAGTCTGGAGGGTGCTGCTGCTCTGCATAGATGGGCCTGAGCTAGAGGAAGCCGCGGGCCGAGTCTGCAGAAGAGCCGTGCTTCTCTCCCCGCGTGCTCTGGCCCGGCCCATGCCATAAGCATCGCCTCACTGTCTACAGGCAACCCCCGTCCGTCAGACCATTCCTGACCAAGTCGGCAGACTTTTTTTCTTTTTTTACAAAGAGGTGCAAGGCTATTCTAAAGAGGGAAGAAATGAGTTTGGCAGCTGTATTAATCTTAAAATGAGGCTTAATTCTCAGCCTTATTTCTGAGAAGTTTCCTCACCTTGTAAAAATTGTCTGTGCAGATGAGTTTGCAGTAGTATATAAACGATATAAATAAATACTAAATCATGCTAAGCCACCTGATACAAGCCAGTAGGTCATTCACTCAATAACCCATGTTATTGCTGACAGATGGGTGTCCTGTGGCTTGCCATGAACTGCTCCCCCTTTAGTCCTTCCACCTGTTTCCAGCATAGATCCCAGGTGCCTTGGTAGCTGAAATCCTTATTTTGGTATTCACTGCAGTAGCAACTTGTCTGCAACTGCTTGGTTGCTGGTTCACATGGGAAATCCACCCCACAATCCTCTAGCAAAGGATTGCCAGATGGAATTAATTTTCTAAGCTATTATGGATATTGAAAAATGTTCATAAACATAAAAATAGCAGGGTCTTCAATGCAAAGTCTACCTGTTCAGCATTCAGCCTAGCATACTGCTGTCACCCTCTTGCCATCGTCCTTCATTTTGCCTAATGGGGGAAAATTCTTTCCTAAAAGTGATACAGGCCCGTGTACAGGCAATTAGACCAGCCTGTATCTCACCTCTTGCAGCTGCCTTCACCCCCCCCCCCGCACCCCCCAATTCTTTAATGCCTCTGACTTCACTCTACTGTTATCCATTGTAAACTGTCAGATATATGTGTGGGTTACAGAGCCGGAGCAAGGATGGGTATAGATACACAAATGTGTAAGTTTCGTGGCAGAACAGTAAAGCAGAGAGGGAAAGTCTTAAATTTCATAGCTGCAGACTTTCAAATACCTGCAGTTGTGCAAGTTCCGTTTAAAAAGGGGTTGCGAATGCACTGGGGAACCTTCTGTGTCCCTTTTTCTCCAGGTGCGGGAGCAGAGGGTCCTGGTGCGGGAGGAGCTGGGTGGCACTAGCGGGATCATAGCTCTTTCCTCGGCCTAAAACGAAGAGTCCCAGCCAGGTTTGGGTCATGACAAGTCCCCCTGGACATCTTGACAAGCCATGGGTTGTCGGGTTGGCTTGTTCATGAAAGACAAGCGCACAGGGAAAGCACTCTGGATTTGGAAGTCACAAGTTAGCCTGAATCGCCCCATCGTGTCATGCTGACCAGGTCTGCATGTGTGATTTTCCTTGTCCGATGACATTGTTGCGTTTCGTAAGCTACGTTGGAGTAGCTGCTCCGACCACGCAGCTGATCAGTGAACTGCGGTGATGTATGCCTGTCCCTTTTCATCCCCAGTTTTCTGCCCTCCGGCACGCTCTGCCCTCCAACATCCACTTGCTCACACTAGCCCAGTGGGAACCTGACTCCATCCTCATCCGACTCGAGCACCAATTTGAACGTGGGGAGAGTGCCAATGGCTCCATGCCCGTTACCATTAACTTGCTGGTAGGTCTCTCGTTTTAGGCAATACTGCAAAGTCAAGACACTGATTCTGGGCCTTCAGTGGGGAACAAGCTAGTAGCTCTAAGCTGTCATCCAAGCAGGCATATAGGAAAGGCCCTGCATAAAATATGAAGAGTTGGATCCAAACACAGAGTAGAGCCATTAGAATTAATGGGACATGTTGAATTTATGCCCCATTAATTTCAGTGGTTCTACTCCAGGTGGGACTTAATCTGAATCCAGCTGTGCTACAGTACGTTTAGTGTTCTGCATGCATTCTCAGTCATGCACACACCTGTATGACGTGGGCCAGTGTTATTACCCTGTCCTGCAGTCGAGGGACTTCAGCTGAAGAGAGACTTCCATGGCCGAGTTAAAATCTCCAGCAGGGATTTTATGGCCTGTACCTCCCTTCATTCGCTATTCTGCCGGCTCCTAGAGCTTGCTGTATTTGCAAAAGGACCATCTTCAAGATGGGAAGGGAATACCAATGCGCAGCGTGGTGGTACGAGTTGCGGTTGACGTTGGGTGTGTTGCACTTTGAAAACCAGAGAGAGAACCAACAAACTCGGAGGCTTGTGACGTTTAGCCCTCGGCTACAGCTTCAGTTAATCACAGGACATGGTACTTGCTACTTTCTTACCCTACTTTCTGTGGCTTTCCTTTCCGTGGCAGAACCTGTTCTCTGTCTTCAACATCATTTCCGTGCAAGAGATGAGCTTGGCAGCCAACCAGAAGCGAGAGAACATGGACAGGCTCATTTGGTGGCCAGCTGAAGGTGAGTCTGCGACTGGGGCTGGGGCCCCTTGAGCCTGTCCCATGTCACAGCAGCCCTGCCCGTTGCTGCAAGAGGACGGTGACCAGCAGCCCTCTGGCCAGCGGCCAGGGCATTCCACTATTCGGCAGCGTCCTAGAATCATCAGCTGCAGCTGGCGACGCACTTGCAGCTAACTAATGGTTTGGACTGGCTTCAATTGACGCCTGAGTCACTGAATGCAAACGGCTTTGATGCTCATGCCACCATCCTACGGAAGCAAGTAAAATGGAGAGGGATGACTTTCTCTGGGAAGTGAATTCTGTATTGCGGCCCCTGCATCAGAGGGGCTGCGTTGTGCCCTTGTAGAAATTAGCTGTGCGAAAGATGGGGTACAGGGAAGAGTCATCAGCCACTGAAAGTGAGATCTCAGGGGAGGCATAACCTCTGCTAACCAAGCTCCAGACCTTTCACAGTCATCACCAGCACAACATCCGGGGCCTGGAAAGTCAGTTTATAGCTTCCAGGAAGTGAGTGGCCATGTTTTGCACTAGCCGTACCTTCCAACCCTTAGTGAAAGTTGGCCCCTTATAGCACATTGTAATGATTCGAACAAAAGTGCCTGGCCCTAGTTGCTCTTCTGCAAAAGGAAAGTCTCCTTCCATGCTATGTGAGGAACAGCAGCTTGGCTGAGGCTGGAACAGCAGCTTGGCTGAGGCTGGAGCAGCAGCTCATGCTGCAGCTCCACCCCTCCAAACTTCCATCCTGCTCCAGCAGGTTCCACAACCCTCCTATGCTGACTGGCAGGGGAGAAGGAAGATTGGCAAAAAGTGTTTCCCCATCAGCACTTCGTCATCTCCCACGAGTTCTTCGATTGAAGCTTCGATTGAAGGTGGCTCCTGCTGCCACCTTCCAGTCAAGTAGAACCCTTCTCTCCCTGTAGGACCAGTTCCTCTCAGGCTGTACCAAAGTCAGAACGATCAGCTCACTTGGCTGCATGGGGCCATACCTGGAGTTTCTGCGCATGTGCACACGCGTGTGCTTTAAAGCTGCACCTCACCAGCACGTTGTAATCCTGCTTTCCCAGTAAATAATCTCCTGGAGCAGCTGTGAGGTTAGAAATGGAAGGACCAAATGGAACCTGGCTGCTCCCGAGAGACCAAACACCAAATGCAGCAGGAACTTCCCAATGCAAGGTGTTTTGTGGGCTTGATCTTATCAGGTAGGAAGGAGTGAAGCCACAGTCTCTCCCACCTCCTCCCTCCCCATGGGGACAGTTCAGGAGTTGGTGATAGGTGTGGTGCTGAATCTCTCTGAAATGTCAGGCAGAATCTGCAGGCTTGGATTCCCTGCCCTGGGTTTGGGCCCGCATCATCATGGGCGGCAACCAGGAATGAGGCCTCTGTGGTCCTCCAGTCTTTATCCAGTTCCATCTCCCAGTCAGCACGGCCAATGGTGGTGGTCCAACAAGCTCTGGAGTGCCGCAAGATCCCCCATACCTGGTGTAAACTAAGGCCCACCAGCTGCCTGCCTCAGTGAAGAATCCAGTGGCTCTTTGCAGATGTAAGAATTTGTTATGTTACTAGTTCCATAGACTAGAGTCCAATGGAGAATGGATCCAGGCTGTACTGCATCAGCCAGCTTAGCGTGTCCTTTTCCACTCTGTGCCCTGTTGCTGTGGAGCTGGCATTTCATTTCACCCTTTTTCAAACTCTCTGCAGGAGCAGCACAGCGGCAATCAAGGATTCACCTAGACCCAGCCCACATCACGCTACAACCGATGGAGATCCGGACCTTCCTGGTTCATATTCAGCACCAAATGATGCCTGGGAGAGAGCTCAGAGGAGGGGACTAATGTGCTGCCATTTCATCCCATGCATGTGGAGTTCGAGACGGCCTGAAGAGCGGCAGGACATGGGAGCCTCCTGTGCCCCTTTCAAGAGGGAGCAAAGAGGTCGTGCTGCCTGCGGCAAGAGGGTGACTGACGCCTGACTGAGGCCTGGTAGCAGGACCCTGTCCTGAGCACTTTGCTGGGATTTCTCTTCTGGTGAATGAAAAAGGGATCATTGTTGAAATGCCCTCCTCCTCCTTCAAGCGCACACAGAAGCCTGTACAGAAGTGCTGGAGTATTTGGGCAAACTTATGTGCAATCATTAACTTTTAAATAAACCACTTAAGGATATGCTGCAACCATTTTGCTTCCCACACCAGTCCAGGATACAGCAGTTTAAGAAAAATGCTTCTACATCTTTTTACACAATGCCATTGATTACAGCAATGCAAATAAATTCCTGCCAGTTCTTCCTTTGTCTCAGGACCAAAGTGAGGTTTACATATTATCAGCTAGCAGGAAATCAAAGCCTAATTGGGAAAAAGCTGCAAAGCCTGGGAAATAAGCTCTCTCCTCATCAAGTTACACCAAGCCACTGATCACTTCAAGCCCTTTTAGGTTAATTTCTTACTCTAGAGACATATTTGGCTTGAATGACTCCCACATAAAACTTGCTGAAAGCGACACATATCCATTTCCAAATGTTCTGCTAACACAAGCAAGTTCTTGATAATGCTTAAAAAAAAATCTGTAAACCTGATTTTTGGAGGACACGGGAAAGATTGGAAGCACTGGCAACAGTCAGTGGAAGCAGAGCATTTTCTAGATAACTGAAGGGGGAGGGGTGGTGCTGTCTGCTGGGAAAAAGTTGTAGACGGTCAAACCATAACTGCCTTAAGCTGAGTTGCCTTAGTGTGTGTGGGACAGGAGTATGTTGGTCAATTCTCCATAGAAGTGGAGCTGATTAGTAGCTGGATTTCCTTTCTACATTGTGGGTAAGCAGCATGGTGCCCACCAGATGCTTTCAACTACAACTCCCATCAACCATCAGGGTTTATGGGAGCTGCTGTCCAAAACATCTGGTGGGCACTAGTTTCTCTACCCCTGTTGTAGGTAGACCTTTGACTAGTGGTGTCCAGCCAGCCCAGGATCTCTAAAACTCCACATCCCAAAACGGCTTTATCACACTGTCTTATTTCCCATAAGCACTATGGAAATAGGAAGTCAGGACCCATCTGCAGGACTGCTGGGGCAAGCCTGGGAGATGAAATAGCAGTGTCTGTCCTGCCGCCAAATATCAGTACTGATATTAAAATATTTTGAAAAAAACCAGGGTCATCACCACTCTCAAGTTCCGACCGCTATTAGCCAGCATTACTAAAAAAGGAAGGGAGGGGAAAAGCACAGAGGAGGCCATCCTTCACGCGCCTGTGACAATAACGATGGGGCAGTGTCCGTCCATTTCATCGCTGAACCTGGCCGCCTGCTCCTTTGCGACGGAGCTTCCTCATCAACTGTAACTAGCGCAATAACAGGACCGTTGTCATTTCCCAAAATCATAAACTAGCAGTTTGCCATTTAGCTGGCTATCCACCAGACCACAAGTGAGACACCATTAAAAGATCATTATATAATGGTGAGCATATCATAAATGGATAATTTAAAATAAAAGATTCTCCTCTTTAAAAAAAAAAAAAAAGCAGACATTCACTGTTTCATCATGATGCTGTTGTGTTGTTTTGCTCCATCTCTTTTTCCACCTCGTGAGAGTAGCAGCATTTGTCCCCCAGTGAACAGTTGCCCTGGGAGGAAAAACAGCACTTACTGAGACATCATAACAAAAGCATTCAGGCCCTTGCATTCAGTCTAGGACAGTGACGGTGAACCTTTTAGAGACCAAGTGCCCAAACTGCAACCCAAAACCCATTCATTTATCACAAAGTGCCAACACTGCAATAAAACCTGAAAACAGCCAGTCCGAGTAAATCTCTCGCTCGCTCTCTTCCTCCCCCCCCCCCCCTTGGCAGTGCACTGATCAGCCATGTGAAAGCTCAGATGAGTCGCGGCTCGTGACGTCACTGCCTGCCACCACTGCTCCTTTCTGAGCATGCGCATGGCCCCTGTGTGCGCTGGTATCCGATGCTCAGCTGCTGGGGCGACGTGGCTCGCGTGCCGACGGGGCTCTGCGTGCCCGCTGCTGCACACATGCCACAGGTTCGCCACCACTAATCTAGACTGTGACCCAGCATACAAAAGGCGGGGGGGGGTCAGTGAGGATTGTGTGGTTATCAGGGAACCCAGGTCTGCATCTCCAGATAGATCGCAAAAATAGCAACCCTTTTCACAGCTCTCCCTACTGGTACCTACATAAAAGGTAGACAAGCTCTGCATACCTTGCAAGCCAGCCCGTCTGCTCAATTGCTAGCCCACCAGGAACAAAAGGGCTATGACTACTGACCTCCCGGAACCTTTTGCAGGGGAAGTTCTTCAGGTGGGCTGCATCGTGTTCGTCTGCACATGCCTTCCTCTTGTTCTGGTGTAGCTTTCGCTTGTCCTGCAGAGAGGAAGAGATCCCACCCCTGCCCAAAGCAGGACTGTTAGGGTTGGCCAGAGAGGCTGCGGCTGCTGCTCAGTGTTGCTGCCACGATCACAAGTGCGTGCAACACAACGCTGCCGCCAGTGCTCAGCACGTTAAGTCACAGTGGGAGATGGAAGGTGCCCATCTGCTTTCACACAGGAAAGGGTGCAGTTAGCAATGTAGGCCAAGAGCGTGAGCCAGCTTTGATATTTACATGAATTTCTTGCATAGAGCAGCAGCCCTGGAGAGCAGCAACCATGCAGTTTTCTTTATAAAAGCTTACTTCCAAAAACAGTATTTCTGTAACAGTGAAAGTGCCTTAATTACTAGCCAAAAGCACTATTCTAATGCCTTTTTACATGGAAGGCAGCAACAGATTCTAGTTTATTTCTAACCTGTTTTCCTACAACACACAAACCCTTTTTATTTCCCAGCACAGAATGGAGAACAACACCTAGATATTTTATTTATTAAAAGCTTTTCTATCCTGTCCCCTACAAACGTCTCAGGATGGCTTACACTAAATTTTTCCCTGAAACTTACCCAGCTTTGGCTCTTGCTTTTGGCCCCCAAAAGGGCTCAGGATTCAGCTGAAACCGTTTCAGGCCCAGCTTTCGTGAACTAGGATTTGCATCTGCCCTCACAGTGAAGGATATCTGTTGTCTGTGGAGTTGAGAAAGCGTCAGCAAGGAAGGTAAGATAATTCTGGCAAGAATCAAAACCAGAAGGCATAACATCTCACAAGTGCTTCTCGGCCTCTAAATGGAACAATACACTTCACTGTCCATGGGGTTTTCATGGCAAGGATACTGGAGTAGGTTACCACTTCCTTTTCCTAAAGGTTCATATAGTCAAAGCTGTGGTTTTCCCAGTTGTATGTCTGTGAGAGTTGGACCATAAGGAAGGCTGAGTGCCAAAGAATTGAGGCCTTTGAATTGTGGTGCTGGAGGAGACTCCTGAGAGTCCCTTGCACTGCAAAGAGATCAAATCAGTCAATCCTAAAGGAAATCAATCCTGACTGCTCTTTAGAAGGACAGATACCAAAGCTTAAGTACTTTGGCCATGTAAGAGAGAAGGACTCACTGCAAAAGACCCTGATGCCGGAAATGACTGATGGCAAAGGAGAAGGGGATGGCAGAGGATGAGATGGCCAGATACTGTCACTGATGAAATGAACATGAATTTGGGTGAACTCTGGGAAACAGTGGAGGACAGGAGGGCCAGGCACGCTGTCCTCCTTATGGGGCTGCAAAGAGTCAGGCCAGACTGACTGAAGAACACACATGGCCACAACTTTCCCCGAGTTGTTTTTGCTATCTTAACATTCCAGCTCTATTTTTTAAAATGTTTCTTTTTCTAGACAGCATCCTATACTTTTGTACGCTCGTGCCCTCCGCCCACAAGCCTTATCCGACTTGGCTCAAGGTCCGTATGTGCCCGTCCGGCACCCAGTGCTGCAGTACCCCTGGCACCTACTTGGGTTCCACAGAGAGGATGTAGGCAGCTGGGCTGCTCTCTGAAAGGCGCTCTCTTTTCACAGGGTTCAGCTTCTCCTGAAGGTAGGGGAGAGAGAACGTAAGCAGCCGTTGGGCATCGACACAGATGGAAAGACACCGTACAGAGCTGCAGACTAAGCAGAATGAGCCCAGTGCCACAAATTGCCCAAGGCACAGGCAGCCTCCAGACCGGCACACCTCCACAGAAGTCCCCGAGGTGCCTGGGGCCAGAGTTCTAGGAAGGCGAGCCCCCTGAGGCCAAGTAGGACCTTGCTCACCCAGCAGCGCATGACGTCCCAAAGCACAGAGGGTGGTGCATCCGTCTTGATGGCATTCTTGCAGGCATGGGACAGTGACACTCGGTAACCAGCGTGGAGGAGAGCTGATCTGCAAAGGAACCCAGAGGTGACTTGCACCGAGACCTTTGACTGCCAAAGGGGAAAGCTCCAGGAGAAGCCACAGGAGGGGTTCCCCGTTTTTAAGCAACTCGCTATCTGAGCCCATGGAAAAGAAACATGGCAGTCCAGTTTGGCTTGGTGAAGATGTTCACCTGAGCAGCCTAGGCATCTATTGGCCAGTGCCAGAACATCAGAATTCGTCCACTTGCTCCTCCTAACAGTTCTGTGAAATGTCCTTCCATGTCCCACCAAAGGTGACACCCCAAAACCCTCAAGCTGCCAGGCCTCGCCCAAAGGCATCATGTGTTGAGCCCAGGCACAGCATCATACGCCAAGTAACCCGCCCAGGGCGGAGGATCCTTAGGAAAGCTGCCAGCTCCGGCAATGGGGCCGAGCTGCCCGGCCCCTCGACACACTGCACTGCCCTAGACTGACCAGCAAGGAGCCAGGGAATTTCAAGGCACTCTGTAGGAAAACACTGAGTCCCACAGCAGAACCTGCAAGCACGACAAAACAGCTGTGTGCGCCAAAGGAAAGGCGGAAAATAGAACAGGACACAGGCCTCAGGCAGGGATCTGTACAAACGTTCGGCTCTTGAATGTTTTGTCAGAAACTGAGGGGAGTCCCTACCTACTGCCACAGTCCCTCCTGGGATACCTTTTCTTTGGGGCACAGAAAGGCTCTCAGCGCCAGGCCCCAGTCTTACCTGAACTGGAGCAGGGAAGGGCTGTTGCAACGGATGGTTTTGCTGAGCTGATCAAGGGTGTAATAGAGAGGGACGTCACTGAGTTCCTGCCACACACACAGAGAAACAGGTTCTAGTTAAGCAGGGTATTGTCCCAGTGCTGCAACAGCACCAGCTCTTCTTACAGAGAATCCTAGCAAATGAACTCACAAGAGTGGCTTTGAAACTTGCTGCTTTTCCTTCCCCTTTTCTGCAGGTTGCTGAGAACTTTGGGGCACGCTAGCCTCAGGCAAACCATTCAAATGGGCACCCACCAGACTTGTGCTGCAGGCATGCTGAGAGACAGCCAGATAATGGTCCTCCCCCGCTGCCAAGGATTGCAGGGGAAGATGGGTAGTGGTGGGCAAGTTCTCTTTCAGGTCAGCTTGCCCACACGACTCAACTTCCCACTGGAAAGATCCCAGTAAGTTTCCAAGGCTTGCCAAGGTCCCCTGGGGCGAAGCGACACAACCAGCGGGCTGTCCACAAGGGGTGAGCCCGGCTTCCCCAGCAGCAGCAGCAGCATCCCGGCAGAAGGCCGTGTCATGCACTGGCGAAACTGTTCCTGCTGGAGCTGCACCAGAGCAGATGCGTGCCATCCAGCAACGGTCACCACCGTCCGGGCAGTCTCATCCTCACCTCCATCACCATGCTCAGGATGCCCTGGATCCTTGGACCAGTCTGGAAGCGTCCCGGGTTGCCCCCGACGGCTGACAGGACTCGCTGGACAAAAGCGACATCGTGGAGAGCCTCCGCCCACAGAGGGCCCGCCAACTGCAGGAGGAGCAAGAGCGAGGGTCAGTGTCGCTCGCCAAGCCAGGGGCTCGTCCCGGCAATGGCGCTCAGAGAGCCCTCACGCTCACCTGGTGGCGCTGGTGGCAATGCTCACAGGAAGGTCCCACGGGGGGCCCACAGGCCGCCTTGTAGTTGACGCTGTGTGGTCAGAGAGCAAGCAGCCGCAACGGCAGGTCACAGCACGGTCAGGCCAAGCGGGGCTGGTTTCTGCTTCCGCTTCCTCATTCACACTGTTCAGCATCCAGCTGGTACAGCCCAACTGGCAGAGCAAAGCCTGCACTGCTGGTGGGGAGCAGGGCCGCCGGCAGGCACAAGGATACGGTCCCTGCATGGGGCTTGGCATTTGCCCTGCACTGCCCCTAAGGTCCCCTCCTGCAGGGCAGCCCCTCACAGAGAGTTAGCGCGGGGCCAGCCTCTACGCTCAGGAGGAGCAGCAGCGACTTGTGATGCCTGCGGAAGGGGCTCTGGTTACAGCTCATGGTACACAGAGCTGTCTCTTCCTCCTCGCCTCATAGACACTCCCCTTCCCAATCCTCTGAACCTGCTTCTCAGGAGTGTCAGATGTATGACTTCATGCAAAGCCTTTTACTTTCCCAAATTCGAGGGGAAACAAAGCAAGGAGCAAAGGAAAGCAACCACCGGTCCCTGGAGAGGAAACCCCATTAAGCAAACCACCCAGGGAATGTACTGCCTTTGCTGATTGCCACAGGAACGCTGGGGGTCGGAACCTGGATCTGCCTTCCGCAGGAGAAAGAGTTCCCTCATAGGTTCCCCTGCTCAGTTCTGGGGATTCACCACCCCACAGGTCACCCCCTCGAGGGGGCCTCTCTCCCTCTGTAGTATTTTCAGGGGCTGCCACAGAAAGGAGGGGTGGAGAAGTCCACTTCTGCCAGCGTGGTGGACCTGGCTGAACCCTGGACCCAACTTCTGGTGATGAACTTGCTCCCAGATGCCACCCTCCTCACTAGCTCGGACAGCAAGGCAGCCTGCACAGCAGCTGGATGCTCCCACTAAGTCCCCAACCCGCTTACTTGTTTCCGTTGCTGACCACTTTGCCGAGTCTTTGGATGTGAAAGGAGCCGCAGCCCACACAGTTATACACCAAGGCCTGCTTGCTGCCAAGAGGAAAGGAGACATGTTGCACAGCAAAAGGAAGGAAGGGCCCAGGGAGATCTGCTGGCTGCAGTGGAGGAGCTCCCTGCCGTTTCAGGCCCAGGGAGCATGACAGGGAAGCACGTGGGAGGTTTCTGTCTCTCCCCAGGAAGCACAACGCGAGCCTTGGCAAACCCACCAGGGCACCGTCTGAGGCTGGCTCACCTGGCGGAAGCTTTGACTTTAGCCTGTCCGGTGAAGACCCGGACGAACACACGGATATAGAAGTCCGCACTGATGGACAGGAGGGGGACAATGTAGCGCTGGTAGCAGTTGGCACGCAGATCAAGGCTGTGCAGGATGATCCGCAGTGCCTGAAGGAGGGAAGGAAGAACGGCATCCGGCTATCTTGGCCTGTGGGCACTGACGCAATGGGGTGACACCTCGTGGAACCTTCGAGTCTTCGCACAGTGCTCACGCAATGCCACCTTCTTTTTTTCCACTTTTTGATTTGCAATAGTTTGGTTGTAACGTGGTGTACAATTCCCAGGGGATCCATAGTGAAAGAATGGTGGTTTATAAAGTTTAAACATTAGCATTCCTACTTAATGTGTTCTCACTGTCTTGAAGTTCCTATTGGGTGGAACTGAGAGCCAGTGTGGTGTAGTGCTTAAGAGCCTGGGACTGGGACTCAGACGATCCGGGTTCTAGTCCCCGCTCAGCCGTGGAGCCAACTGGGTGACTTTGGGCCAGTCACAGACTCTCAGCCCAACCTACCTCACAGGGTTGTTGTCGTGGGGATAAGATGGAGGAGGAGAATGACGTAAGCTGCCTTGAGCCCTTTGTAGGAAAAAGGCAGGATATAAATAAAACAAACAAACAAACAAACAAACTTCTGCACGGAAGAAGCCTCTGCAGGAGAATGAATGCCACCATCGCCTTATTCTTGACGAGAGGACTTGCAAGGCACCGGTGGCTGACAAGGGGACTGGCTGGCATGTATCTGTCTCCTTGTGAGTGGGGGAACAGGTGGGCTGAAGGCGGGCAGCTACAGCAATGGGCCACAGCCAGGAGGCCAGTCCGGTTCCGGGCGCCTCCGTGCACTCACCATCTCATGGCAGAACTTGGCCTTGATCGACATGGCTCCGTATTTGCTGTAGCAGGTCTCCCCCGAGTTCCCAGCCATCACAGCCATATCGGTGCAGGTGACACACAGCAGACCTGCAACAGCATTGCCACACGGAGGGTGAAGGGGCAGAACACACCATCTTTCCCCGGTGCTCTGCTGTGTGATGGCATCCCTGACGTGAAAGGCCACGCACAGGCACAGCAGCACACTGGCTGGCCTTGGGTTCTGCTCTAGCAAATGAAATGCAAGGGAAAGATGCCGAAAGGGGTTCAATTAAAATTAGATAAATCACTTTACAGAAGTCTCCCAGTCCTCAAAGAGTTTTGGGAACCTACTTAGGCCAACACAGAGTTTGCCTAAGCAAGTTTTTAACAAGGTTAGGAACAAACAGCTCCTGCTTCCTCAGAGTTCTAGTTTTCCATGCCCTCTCCCCAAACTCATCTACACCTTTGGACACCTGGCAAGCTTTAGAAGAGGGGTGGGAAACCTTCTGTCAGCCTGAGGGCCAAATTCAATTTAAGAGGTGCTCTTGGGAGTTTATTCCAGCAGTGGGTAGGACTGAGGGCAATGGGGACGGTACCAAAAGATAAAGAAATACCAGCATTCTGTAGCTTAACATGCTTTTTAAAGCCAGAAACTGAGCCTTCTGAGAGACGTTTACACCTTTTAGAATGGTGGAAAAACTGCACAAAAACTGCAGGAAGCCTCCGAACAATCAGTGGTTGGGTTCCTGATGAGAAGTGACCATGGCAAGCTGAGGAACCCTGGAGGGCTGGACTGGGACCGTCAGGCCTGGTTCCCCAGCCCTGCTTTAAAGAAAATGGCTGCGCTCTCCTCCCCCTTGTGGGTCAAAACAGTCCCCAAGAGGGAGAGTTGTGAGGTATGCACTATCACGGCCCAAGTTTGCTCTGAAATCCACAGGATGGGAACCTGTTCCTTCCTGTTGGCAAAATAAAAAATAGAGGGGGATGCTCAGGAGATGCTCCAGGCAGAGAAGGACTATAAAGCCTATAAAGATCCTATATTCCAAGAACACTGCAGAAGCCCAGTTATCAAAGCACCTGGATTATGCTAATCAGTAGCTAAAGGAAGACAGCAGCCCACCTCCTTCACTCACGGCCTGCAAGGCAGCATCGAGAAACATAGAAGGGCTGCCGTACGGGTCCAGGTCGATGACGTCAAAGAGCTCCTTGGCTGCCTTGCTCTTGTACATCAGCATCCTGTGCATGAGACGGAAAGAGAGGAATGCTCAGAAGTGCCAGGAAAACGGAAATGGTGGCCTCGACGAGGCAGTTCGGCTGCGTCTGGATGGCACTACACAGGAGGGAAGCGTTCTCACAGCAGTGAACGCTCCTCCACACTAAAATTTTCTCTCTGTATAAAGTCCAGGTGCCAGAGTGGAAGACATGCTAAAATCCTTTTTCGTGGCATGCTAGTTTTCTGCAGGCATTCTTGTATAAGAGGGAGCACTCAAAATGCAAATTGTCACATTAAAAAGATACAGCCCTTTAAGAGCATAAGAATTTTGTCTGATCAGACCAAGACCTGCTGAGTCCAGCATTCTGTTCACACAGTGGCCCAACAGAGGCAGCAAGTAGTATGCGAGCGCTAGAGCATGTGCTTGCGTTCCCCAGCCTTACCCTGCGCTACTCTGTCTAGCCCCCCTTTTACACCTCTTTAGGGCAATGACCATCCCTAGATCTTGCAGGAGCAAACTCCACCGTTTAACAACATGCTACCAAGACACTGCCTAACGTTAAACTGACAAAATGTTTTCAGTTATTGTCCGGAAAAATAAAATCCATTTGTTGCTAGAATTACAGTAGGCCTCCCTACAAGCTGAACCACCAGACAAAAATGCCACAGCTTGAAGGTGAGTTGCCACTTTGGTCTAATTTGCACCTTCCCTAACGCTTCATTACTGAAAGTAGGAGCTTTAAGCTATGCTAGAATTTTAAAGATTGTTTTCTCTTTGACCCCACCTACTACCGGAATGTGGCCTCCCAGAGCTTTTCTGAAATGGGATTTGGCTTGTGGTTTGAAGGCGGTTTAGCACCCCGGCGCCAACTGGAAGACCTTTACATACCGGGCATCTGACAAGCTTGGTGCCACCAGGTGTCCTGCATCGTTGAGCTGAATGTTTTGGGCTATGAGATCAACTGCCTTGGAAGAGACGTCATTCGCCACCACCTTGTGAAGACCAGGCACCTCTCTGGCAAACCGGATGGAGCGTAGCCCAGAAGCAGCCAAGGCTTCCAGCACTCGGAGTCCATCCTGCAAGGTACAAGAGGAAAGACATGGGACGAGGAATGGAGGGAGGCCTTGGAACAGCTGTGCTGAAAAGGAACATACTGGTTGATGCTGTAACGTGTGAGGAGTCCACATCCCAGCCTCTGTAAGGCTAACGCCCAGCATTATGGTCATTCCAAGGAAGTCAAGAAGCAATCCCAGAAGGCACAGGACAAGCCTTTTCTGTGTGTGTTATTGTCTGTGGACCAATTTACATGCTGAAGTAAATACAGCCTGACTTTTACTGCAGGTCTTGAGGTATTGCCTTGTAAAAGCTGCTCCACACACGCACATCAGCAGCTGTTCCCAAGTTCCAGCCCCCCTCCACCGCCAAAAAGATAGTCTTAAAGGCCAAGCTCAAGCATTTTGTGGGAGGTAATGGAAAATATTTTTATTCGGGTTGATATTTGGTGGCCAGTCATATACTGGAAGTTGTTAGCAATGGGATATTTTATTTCATTTACTGCATTTAGCTCCTGCCTTTTTTCCTCTTGCAAGGGATCCAAGCTGGCTTATAAGGTTCTTCTCCTCTCCATTTTTAGCCTCTTAACAACCACTATGAGGCAGGTTGGGCTGAGAGTCCATGACTGGCCCAAAGTCACTTTGTGATCCTCATGGCTGAGTGGGGACAAGAACCCAGATCTCTGAGCTCCCCCATCCAGGCCTGTAACCACCACACCACACTGGATCTCTTTAAACATACTGGAGTGACCCTCACAGACTACACCGTATAGTGAGGCAGGTGATTTCTATCACTTCATCGATAATACGTTACTGAGCAACTTAAGTAAAAAAAAGACAGATCCTTGTCCCTGATACAGGGCTTATAATCTAAGCCATAAGGTGGCCTGTGTAATAACATGGCCGGAGTGTTGGACTAGATCTGTTGAAATCCCCATTCATCCAGTGTCATCAGCCATTGTCTTCCAGCACCATCTACCTCATAAGAGTTATTGCAAAGTTAAAATGAAGCAGCAGGAGGAAGAAAACTTGTACAATACCTTGAGCTCCTTGGAGGAAAGGCAGGATATAAATAAATTAAAACATTTAAACACACACTGCTTACACAACAGAAGAACCACAGCAAACAAAGGATCAATGCATTTAAAATAATAAAGCAAACTGCTTCCCAAACCACCCACAAAACTCAGAGGTACACAAAGGACACAGCACCTGGCAAACCTCTCCCACTCTTACAACTTTCTGATCCTCCTTATCTGGGACACATGGTTGTTCCAAGTCATCATCTTTTTCTTCTTTCGAGATATCCACAATCATTTTTGAGGCATTTTCCTCCCCCGGAACTGCAACTAAGAGGGGAAAAAAGATTGATATGAAGCTGATGCATGGGCCAAGTCCTAATCAGGATACAACTGCAATATGCCATATTTCAATACTAAGAAGCATAGTGCTGTCCAAAATATATTGCCTGTAAGATATTGCATAGCAGCCCCTTTAATTCTTTAATTTATGATTCTCCATTTTACAGCTTAGCTATTTTAACTACTGGAATAACTGTTCCTGCTGCCTCTTCCGTATAAGTCAGCTGCTAGTGAAGGCCTGCATATACTCTCCAGTAACTAACAGCCATTTCCAGAAGTGCAAGAAAAGTTTATAGAACGACCATGGCCTCCCAAAAGCTCATGTTCTGCCTTCAATTAACCACTGAGGTCTGCCCTCTTCCCCCGTGCTCTCATAACTGGAAAAAACAGCATCTGCTTCCACTCTCAGGTCAGAAAATTAACTCTGGAGAAGGGGAACCGGAAGCATTCCAGCAGGCAGGGAGCAAAGGAGGCCAGGATACAAATTATCTTGTGCCTCCTGTGGCCTCCCCCCTCCCTCCAAAACACCCTCAGTAGATGGGCTATGAATTCCATCTAGCAAAGAACAACCAAGATGCAGGATAGGGAAGTAAAGATTGCCTCTGCTGTTCCTTCTACCCTGTTGGTTACAGGGCAAAACAATCTTTAAGGCCTCTAAATCATAGGTCCTTAAACTACGGCCTGTGGGCTGGATCTGGCCCACCATGCCCATTTATCTGGCCTGCCTCAGAGGTTTTGGACTCACTGCGCTCGAGCCCTCCACCACCGCCCACCTTGCCATGTACGGGACAAAGCAGCGGCTTGCTCACACGGAGATCATTTTGGCTCGCTCAGAGAAAATGATCTCCGAGCGAGCAAGCTGCTGCCTCACTGCGCCCCTGCCTTGCCCGCACGCGCACCCCCCACCCCTGCCTCGATGCATGTGTGTGCATGCGCCCCAGCCTGTGCCCCCTGCCGGCTCCACCTTGCCACCCCGCACCCAACGCCGGCACCGTTCAACTGGCCCCGTTGGAAAAGTTTGAGGACCCCTGCTCTAAATGCACGAGCCTGCTTAATTGGCACGAGCCTGCCTCAGTTCAACACAGAACTGTCACTAGGAATGGATCATCATGGAGCATCAACATCCATTTCTGCAATGTTCACTATAGAGAAAGAGAAAGATGTACTCTGGGGAAGAAACAGGAAGTATCTCCTTATTCAACCCATGGCTGAGCCTTTCTTCTAAATAATAATAATAATAATAATAATAATAATAATAATAGCAGCAGCAGCAGCAGCAGCAGCAGCAGCAGCAGCAGCAGCAAACACTGTTCATGGTGGACAGACAGAAAATCACCTCAGTGTCTGGACTACTGGGAGGCAACAGACAGGGGTAAAGGGGGTGTCAGTGCTTCTAAAAAGACTGCAAAAAAATAAAGAGGAAAACATTGGCACTCACTCTGAATTCCTTTTTCTAAAAGCTGAAGACGAGCAAATTCTGTAAGGACTGCACACCTATACAGAGAAGAGGAGAGAGTGTGTATCACAACCCAGAACAGTAATGTTTTGTTATTCTATAGCCAGGGTATACAAAAGCACTAAGCACCTACTTTCCAGAATGTGAGCACCTATTTATTATTGCATTTGTTTAAAAGCTGTCCATTAGCTGTCCAAACATGCAGCCTAGACAGTCATTACAATATAAAATCAAATAATATTAATAAAATACAATTAAAATATAATAAACACAATAAAATCATAAAATAATTAAATAAAAATAAAGCATACATTAATACAATCAGAAAACTGTGCACTGATACAAGAAGTCTAGATGGTGCCAAAGGGTGACAGAAAAAGAAAGTTTTTGCTAGGTAAATCTCCAGCAGTATTGTATAATTTGGGTGCCACCACAGAAAAGGCCCTCCTCCTTGCAGCCTCCTCCTTAACATCCTTGAGAAGAGGAACTCATAGGAGGGCCTCAGTCAAAGATCTTAGGCCATGGGCAAAAATGTATGGTGTAAGGTGCTTCCTGAGATACTGTGGTCCCAAGCCATTTTGGGTTATGTATGTCATAGTTAAAACCTTGAATTCGGCCAGGACAGGAACAGGTAGCCAGTGCAGCTGACAGAGGACAGATGTGATGTGTTCATAAGAACTGGTCCTCATCAACATGCAGTCTCTTGAGAAACTCTAACTTCTGTAAAGATTAATTAGTTAGGCATCCAAAACTATCAGTCACTTCAGAAAACTTGTAAAATAGAATTAGTCAAAAACTTGATAACACTCCTTAAGCTAGGGATAAGCTCACTGAACACAACCATACTCTCTACATTGAGAAGTATCCTCTCACCCATCTTTTCTCACCAGCCAGCAGGAATCACCTTGGCAACAAAAGGAATATAAAGGGAGGAAGAACAGAGCTCTAAAGATCTTTGTCCACTTGCCACCCTTCCCATAACTCATTCCATTAGAGTTTTTGTCAGAAAAGAGGAGCAAGCCCATCTTCACTGCCAAAAGCACTCCAGCACGGATAAAAACTAGGCTACCCTCTTGAAATTGTCTGTAGTGCACAAATCCATCTCTGGCAAAGAACTTCTGACAGTGAAGGGCAACACCTTCATTGCAGATCCCCCTGGAAAGAGCTAAAGGACAGATTCCTTATGGAGAGGAAGACCAAACCTTTGGACTGCAGGGGAGCTATAAAAAGGAAATAATAAAATAAAAATAAATGGTGCTAAATATGACTAACCTGCTACCTTTGAACAGGGCACCGATAGAGAGGGGAGCTGAGCACCAGGGACATATACCCTCCGGTACACATCAAAAATTTTCTTCTATCCATGACCCTTTGGGAAGTGCCTCTGGGAGAAATTGGGTAGTTCTCCTGTGCCATCAGAGTGTGTGATTGGTATACTAAAAACTGAAATGTTCACAGGTCCTCTAATTCCAAAGCTGACTTGAAATTCATCTACTCATTCCAAGTTGCAAACCCAGCCCCCTCCTTCTTTCTGCCAAAACTCAGAGTCATACCCATAAATCCATTACTCATAGGCACATTCCTACTGTTCACGCTCTGCAAAATTCAATGGAAAACAGCCGCTCAAGTCTCCCTGCATTCCTACTTACGTAAGGTCTCTGTTGAACTCCTGGACAGGGTTGTAGAACACTTCATTGGCACTTGGGAAAATTATTTTTGCTTTTCCTTCTGTGATCAGACTCTCACCATTCTTGGCTGACTCAGAGCTACCACTGGTTGCCACTGGAGATGACTCAGCCACACTTTGCTTCAGGTTAGAGCCATGTATTTCCATAGCTTGAGCTGCACTGCCCTCCATGCCTTTGACAAAAGAACTATTTCTGACACGAGGAGCAATTAAAGGCACAAAGTTCCAGTTCTTCCAAAGCTGGAGAATTACTGCACTTCTGTGTGAAGCCAAGGTGCGTCCCAGGTACAAAAACCAAAGGAAAGCCTTTCTTGTCATTAGAGACAGGTTTCTCTACAACTCGTTTCTGAAAATACAGAAGAAAACATATTTCTAATGCACACATCCTGAATTTCTGCACACTGCCACCTAGCATCCCTGTTCTGTGAATAAGTGACAGCCTGCAAGGGCAAGGTACTGTACATCATTGCCAGTTGGTGACTTCTGAGACGTGAGTAGCAGTGAAATTGTCTTTTTTTAAGGGAAGGAAAGCTGTTACAAAGCTCCTCACTGATCTTAAGTGTGAAGTGTAGTCACTTTTATTTTTATTTCAGGACATCATATACCAAACAGTCACATATTCAGTTGCTGCCTCTTCTGGTGCAGCAACTGCAGAAACAAGCACCACAGAGCTGTTCCCTGTAAAATAACTCCTAACTTAAAGAATGTTTACTATTTTTCATTATTAGTACTAATATTTTGTGTTTATCAATAGAATAAGAAACAGTCCCCATCGCAGAGACATGTATCATTTTCATCTTCAAGAAATACTCAATTTCATGTGAACATAAGAAAACTCACTGATCGCTAGTAGAAAGCATGAGCCGTAAACAAAATAGTCTTTATCACTTTCCCTACAGCTATTTAGGCTGCAGCATACAAGCTATTATTACTTTCATTATTCTGCAATCTGGCTGTAGAATTGTGCTTGGGATACGACGAGCTCCCTGCATTATCGGAAAAGGCGAACCAAAAAAAGGGGGGGGGGGAATCTAACTCAGCTTACCTACGATCCTTCTCTTATGATCATAGACTAATCCACATGGCGAAAATACTATAGGATGGAGAGAATACGTACATACTTAGTTCGAACATCTCCGGCAAATGATTCAGGAACTGAATTATGAAGTCACATGCCATAAATCAGGACGCGTGGAAGAAGCCCCATAATATAACAAATGAACTTTCCGTATAGTCTGTCTGCAGCCTCCGTAACTAATCTTTCGACCCCGAAGACTTCCCTCTCAGAAGTAGCCCGAACCCCCAAAATCAATTTCCACGCTTTTCAGCACAGGTTACACCAACGCCGCCATATTAAAAGTTGCTGAGAAATGATCAGCTGATGCTCTTCCAACCAATGAAGCTAAAGCAGCGAATGGGGGCTGTAGAGTGAAGAAAAAAGAAGAGGGGATCTCTCAAAAGTCAAAGAAGCAACCTGAAATCTGACACTGTTTAAACTCACGTTCCTTTCAATGCAACCGCTTCCTGAAATCAGATATATATGTCTGAAACATTGACCGCCCATTGTTTTATTAAAGTAACCCATTGCTTTTAAGAATGAGCACTTCATTTTTATTTAGGATTAAGATTCAGGTATGTTGGGGATGTTCGGAATTAGCAGATGTTACACTTAATTCCTCACTGGGGAGAATAGCATTAGTTCCTTTTCCATGTTGCAAGATAAAGGCAGTCCATAGAGGTCAATCCTCTGCATGGTCAGTTAACAAAAACAATTCCTAGGGTTGGGAAACGCTAAGAGTTGCGGGGCTTCTGTCTAGACTTGCGTAGGATTGTGCCATTGAGTTCAGCGGAACTTACTCCTAGTAAATAATGCTACGAGTGCATCCTGAATCAAATCGTACTGAATTCACGGAAAGTTACTTTTCAGTAGATATGGAAAGGATCAGTTTAAAATAAGTCCATATAACTTTGTTACACAGTCCTACACTAAGAGAAGTGGGAGCTGTTAAAATCATTATTTTTCCTAGAGAATTCTTTAGGAATTAAATTTTTAATGTTTAGCCATCTTAGCCAACAACAAAAAAATTGTCATTCTCATGTCATGTAGATAAAAGTGTTCACTTTCTACTCTCCCTTTCTTCAGAGCCCAAGCATGGTGAAAAGGGAAATGGATGCACTTTCCAAAGTGTCTGTAAGGTGAAGCTCAGGCATTATGGTAATTATCATGGGGAAAATATTCAGACTAAATTCTAGATAATCTTGAAGATGTTTATGCAAATTCATTGACCTCTGTATGTGTATATATTTTTTATCTATTTCAGTAATGTATATGCCACCCTAGTTATTCAAAATGCCAGTATGAATATCTTCAGGGAATTGTACACTTTATGGGATGTCTCAAAAGAACTCATGAGGCTTGCTGGACCTAATCAGCTGCAGTATTACTATCTAACTCAATGGGGGAGCAAATGTTTTGCATGAAAAAGTCCTAGACTCAGTAAGCTTTCCCTCTTGCATTGTTTTTTGCAAACAAGGCACCTGAGAATTCATGCCTGCAGTAGGATTGAAGGGACTTGTTCTTAGCATAATTTGTGTCTGAACCTGGTGATTTTATCATGAGTTGTTTGGAATGACTTGAGAGTCCCCTAGCAAGAGCAATGAACCTCCAGTCTCTCTTTTTGATTCTTCCTGCGAGCACCATTTTCGCTTTTCCCTTCTCAGTGCCCTCCACCTCAGCTCAGATTTTTCTTCCCTTCACAGAGAACTTGTGAAGAAGGGACCTCAGAGAATGTTCTGAATGTGTTCACCATTTTGCTTTCTGGTATAGGAAAGGAACTGGCCATGAAAACAAATTTGCGAAAAAGAAAAGTAACATTTTCAAACAGATTAAAAACTATAATTTACCGTGTAAATCAAAATGCTGCTGGTAGCTCCATGGTAGCTTTCCTTGTAAGAACCTGATGCTGATTCCTTCTTCAAGTGCTTAAATGCAGTCACAGGTACAGTGTATGATGTCTTATGGAATTATAATGGTGTTCCTTAAAGGGCACCCATCCAACAAAACCTAGTATCAACATATTGTAACAAAGATTAATAATCTAAATAAAACATTGTCAAACACAGATTAAGAGAAAGAACACTATTATTACTGGCTTGTTTTAAACATAACCACCCTGTCCACCTTTTCTCTCAAGTCAATTAGAGATTTCATCTTCAGAGTGTAAATCCAACATAGTTCCTTCTGTAGGAATTTCTGGTGTAGCTTGTAGTCTTTGAGTTTCAACTTTTTCCAAAAAGTTTCAGTTTCTTTTGTGTTCACTAGCCTGGGCTTTGCGAACTCTTACTGTCACCCCAGTGTGTACTTTTTTGCATGGACATTTGCAACTCTTTTTGTATTACAATTGAGGAACCCTCAATAAAGAGATTGTGCAGTTATCTGTACTGCAGTGACTACAAGAAAAATTGCAGTTCATCTCTTTTCTTAAGAAGGTTCTGTCAATCAATTTGGACTTAGCTCTGAAAGTTCTATGCACCCATTTTATCTTGGTCAGAGCAATCTTATGCCCCTTAGGCAGTGTCTAATAAAATACATTCTAGCCCATTAGGACATTTCTGTATTGGTTCTTTTTATCAAAATTATTGCTCAACACATTTAAGCTCTTTTTAATTGTCTATGACTGAATGCCTGAAGCTTGTTTAGGTAAATCATGTTATTAGACTAGCTGAAAGTTATTCTCTCCTTGTTCTGTAATGCAAGTATATATCAATATTAGTGCCATCACTACAAGTTCCCACAATGGGCTTTTGGGTCATGGGCCATGTTGACTTTGTTTGAATTCAGATAGAAGGAGCTACTCATAGTATCCTGGGCTAGCAAGCATGAGAGAAGAATGAGTGCTGGAATTCTTGTGGAAGAGAAGTCAGACATTTGCCCCTTAATGAGATTAGGCAAAACAACCCCACAAGTAGGGTGACCCCTTGTTCTGGGAAACCTGAAAATTACCTCTCCCCAGGATTACCTGGCATAACAGTTTGTTCCTGCCAATTTCTTTACTGCACTTGGTTGCTGTGTTAGGATATATTTTCCTGTTTGTTTTGCTATTAGGTTCTAGGAATATAAAATTGGATACAATTATTTCCAAAGGTTCTACTGTTGGAGATATGTCGTGTGTAATGCCACAAAAGGTACTCTTTCATCAAACTTCTTATGCTGATTTTTTGGGACACAACATTTGGTACAAAATTATTTTTTGTTGTAGGCATGGACAGAAAAGATTACTTTGATTTTTCACCAACTGGTGGATGATGATGAGTTCTTGTTTCTTTGAATGCAACATGTTGAATACAAATGGCTAGCTATAGCTGAATGCAACCCTTGAAACTGGGGTATTTGTTGCTGTTGCTCTTGTTGTTATTCATTACATCTCTATACTGCCCATAGCCAAGCTCTCTAGGCAGTTCACAACATTAAGTCACCCATCCAGATTTTAACCAGGCCCAACCCTGCTTAGCTGCCAAGATTAGTACCTAGGTGTGCCCCTGTCACTTTAACACCACCAGAGTCTGTCTTTATTGGAAGCACTTTCTGAAGGTGGTCCCACAATCCATGTTTATAAATACGTGTTTACTGAAATGCTGTGAAGTCTTGTGTATCTTACAGTGACCCTATGAATGAATTCCCTCTAAAATGTCCTATGTGTGACAGCTCTGCCCAGCTCTCATAAACTCAAGGCTAAGACTCCCTTTATGGAATCCCATCCCATATTTAGTTGTCATTATCTTCTCCTGGTTTTAACTTTCCCTAGAATTATTGTCTTTAGCAGTGAGTCCTGCCTTCTCATGCTGTTCCTGAAGTATAACTTCTGTTTTAGCATCTTGCTTCCAGTACAGGTTCTGAACTGATTTGATCTAGGACTCATGTGTCTTTCTGTGAGTCCAGGGTATTCACGAAGATTGCCTACTGGATCATATTTCGGATGCACCAATTTTCTTCCTGTCACCTTTCTTCACTGTCCAGCTTCCACACCTACACATAATGATTAGGAACACAATAGTGTGAATGACTGAGGCCTTGGTCTTCAGCAAAATGTCCTTACAGTAGTTATTTTCTAGCTCCTTCTTTGCTGCCCTTCCCAAGCCTCAGTCATCTTCTAATTTCTTGACCCCAGACTCAGTTTAAATTGAGCAAATGTATGCTCAATACATTTTCATGATTTCAGTATCTTCAGTGTTGACATGAAAGTTGTGTAATTCTTTTGTAGTCTTGTTTTATTTTCTTACTGTTCAGTTGCTTTGGCACTTTCTTCTTTCATTTTCATCAGGTGTCATTTCACTTCACTGCTGCTTTCAGCCAGTAATCTGCATATCTTAAATTATCTTCCTCCAGTTTTCACTCCTTTTTCCTCCCATCCTAATACAGCTTTCCTTATATGTTTTGCATACAAACTGAACAGACAGGGAGATAAAATACACCCTTATCTGATGCTTTTACCTGCAGAAAAACATTTTGATTCTCCATGCACTATCCTTAAATTCTTGTTATTGGTGAATAAATACAGCATGCATAGTTCTAAGCAGGAATTAAATGGATTATTTCATGTTGCCTAATCTGGATTGCTGCTTCAACATCTACCTGTTGCTTCTATGGATCTTAGGCTATGTCTCATTCAGCAAAAAAAATTTTTTTCTCTAATGTCTCTTAATAAGAAACTGCTGGCAATGCAACACAGCTAATACTTCTTTTAAATATATGTTTTAGCAATGACTCCTTATTTTGGGATCAGTCTTTAATATTTGTTGGTGTGCTGCTCTTTTAAATTATGTACCAGCTTCTTGGAAATTAATGGTCAACATAAAATAAATTATTTGTGGCCATTTGACAGCTAAAAGACTGCTATCACAACACTGGAAGGATAAATACTCACCTCTGATAATGCAGTGGACTGAGGAGTGTATAGCACTTTCAATATTTGAACAGGTGGTACATAATACACCTTAATGGACACTATTTGGCTATTTGGTCTGCTTTCATTGAAGCTTATGTAAAATTGCTAGAAAGTTGTATTTTCATATACATGCATTTCACATGAACTCACTGCAGACACTGATATGGATGTATACAAATCTATGCATATGTGTGTATATACTATTTTTCTTCTTTGTTACTTTTTTACCATTTCATACTAAAAGAAGAGAAATTATCTTAGCATAGAGTAAGCAAGCTTCAGGACAGTAAGCTGCTTATCCAGGTCATTCTCTGGAAAGCTAAAGGCCCCAAAGCTTCTTTCTACCTGCTGGTATTTCCTGTGCACGGGCAGGAATTAGTAAGATACAGCAGAAGGCACTAAAGAGAGTGGCCATACAAGTCAGGGGGAGTGGGATTCAGTGACGCTGCTATGATTTACAGGCTCCAGAGAACTGGCAAGGAAATGAGTTGGACTTGCCTTCTCCCACTTGGAGCCCTCCAGATGTTGTGAGCGAATTCCCATCAGTCCCAGTCGGTGTGGCCAACAGCTAGGACTGCTGGAAGTTGTACTCCAACATTTGGAAGATATCAGGCTGGGGAAGGCAACATTAGACCTCCGGTCTCAGGGATGTAGATAAGAACTGGCACTAGGTCTCCAGACTAGGAATGGTGTTTTAAATGCATTTGTCAGCTCACCAGCATATAATATAGGTCCCCTTCACATGCTCCACACGTGAAAGGAGCCCACATGTAGAGCTAAGAGTTTTGAATGGCTGGGCCAGCCTGGCTTTCCCTTGCTGCATCACTGCAAACTGGCACTGATGTTTAAGGGAGAAACTCTTTATATGAATAGCTGCTCCATCTCAGATTTCTGTACCCCATGTGCTGAATCGGAGCAGAACTAGGTCAGCAGCATGACAGTAAAAGTAATGCTGTAACCCTGCCTTGCTGTAGACGTACTCCCCCCACATCATGTGTTAAACATGGGGAGGAGGCATGTATATTCCAATCAACATCCATTTTATCTAAATGAAGGAGGTCTTCTTGTTCATTTTTATAACAGGAGGGTAAATGCTACAATGTTGTATCGGGTATGAAGAACTTATGCTTGTGCTCTGCATATCTCTGTCATTTGATGGCTGAAACTTTAAGCTGAAGAAAATTATTAAGTAGATAGTTCCAAGGAAAACAAGAAACTGTCCCTGTAATGCGCGATTTGAAATGTTAAATTTAACCTTGGCAACTTTTTAGCAAGACAGAAAGCTTTTTTTAAGATGACACATATCAACAAGGGAGAACATCAAGATGCAAAGGAGGCACTGTCACATTAACTGCTGTGCTTTTGGTTCACAGCTCCTATTACCCTTAGCCAGTACTGCTGATACTGAAGGGATGGTGGAATTGTAGGATAAAACATATGGGGGTTCATAAGTGGTGCAAGCCTGTGTCACAAGCAGAACTTACTCCTAAATATAGGACACATAGGATTTCAGCCTTCATAGCTGTAACAAAGGAGTTGGAAAAGACATGCCTTATCATGCAAGGATGCAAAGAACAGCATTTATTGAAATAATTTCTTCTGTCCAAGCATTAAAAGTACATGTGCCTTTTTCTTAGCAACTACAGCTACCATCTTGTTTTTCTGACTGTGCTCCTTTAACAGTCTGACATTGAAAAATTGAGTAGGCAGGGCTTTTGCTAGTATGATGCAGCAATCAAGTAGATGCAGTTCTTCCCATGCACAGACAGGACAGATATGCAATGGTCCCAAGCAATGAAGAGTGTAACTTTGGACTCATCATCATAACCTCTAGGTGTTGATCTGCCAGTCTTACCTTGGTGGGAGCTGTTTTTCAACCAGGTTTATATTTGGCCATTGGTAGAGGCTAAATACTGGATCACAAAATATTGATTTGATAATTTGGAGAAACAATTTGGACTTCACAATCCTCACTATGCAAGTTATTTAATTTTATTAATGCTAAATTGTATTAATAGTATTATCAACCTTGAATGGAAGGATAAAGAAACTGTTGCTGCAGATGGAACACTCTGAAAGACACTTGTAGCCCAATGTACTCCACACAGGATGTAATGAAGAAATTTTATTACATGTGTGCAATAAATTGTTAAATGCATTCAACTATTTGTGTTTAGAAGTCTTTTGTCTTGCTCAGATAAACAGTTGCAAGGAAAGACAGAGCTCCTTTAACTTTGTAGAAGTGGAACAATGATGACAGATGCAATTAGTCAATCAAAGGTAACAAAAACTGTATTTCCCCAGATTCCCTCTTCTATAAAGATAGGATCTCTATCTTCCTTGGTCACCTGCTGTGTTGCATCAACTTTTTACTCATTATATAATTACTATCCTTCCTCCAAAGAGTTCCAAACACTGTCTCAGTGCCACAGCAATTTTAGGAAACAGGTTCTCCAGAAATATCGTCTTGCCCAAAGAAACCCAATGATTATTATTGCCAAGGTGGGTTTTGCACCTAGGCCACCACACTACTGCCTGGTTGCCAACTTTTTAACTGTGTTTCTCTGTCTATCACTGATCATAATGCTTATAAAAGTGAAATCTATAATTATTAGCAAAAGACAATGCCCACATTATTTTGAAGGTGCTTCACAGCAACTTGCTCTTAAAACCACAAAATCAGGCCAGGTAACATTTTGTCATGAGTTGGAAAGTTTAATGGCAAACTTACACTGGCTGGAACAGACTGTGCTTGAAGGATACAGTGAGCCCTCTGCCCAAAATCTGACTATAGGCCTTTAGTATACAAAGTAAGTCAGACAATACACAAATTTCTAATTGCACAAGGACCAAGACTATATACCAAGCTATCCCTAAACTCATGGAAAATTTGCTTCTTTTTAACTTAAATGGAATTTTCTAGCCTTCCCGATTAAATTGAGAGAAAGAAAAATTACAGATGTAATCCTATGTGGGTTTAGAGAGGAGGGAAAACCCTACAATTCTCTGCATGCCTTTTTCTGTCTAAACTTGCATAGGATTCTAACTTGAATAAGTAAGATTGCATTGTTGTCCATCAATTGGTCTATTTCTTGTCTCAGTTTAGCAATCATTGTCTAACAATTTTTTCAATCTTAATAATTAGAAGCAGCTCTACTGAAATTAATAGGTCTTCCTTCTAAGTAAATAAATCCTGGGTTGGGATGTTAGCTTGCCTGTATGAACTTGACTAATTGACTGCTTGTAGGCCCTGAATTTCAGGCTGGTAAACTCCAGTGGAGAGCTTTGATGTTGCTATCTCACAGACCATTTTGTTCCTCTTCCTAAGTCTATTGCTCAAACTTTGTCAAAGGCTAGTTGACTTTGATGGCTTGACATATTTCTAAGCTGGCCTTGGTTTCAATCAGGATGATCAATGAGTTACTTGGCCTGAGATTTATGGGCGACTTCCGTGCAACTCACACTACTCACCAATCTCAGTTGAGTACTCATTCTGAGCAAATTGTGTAGTAGAAGCTCCTGTTCGATTTGCCACATGAAGGAGGATCCAAACTTTTTAAAGAGGTTTAGGTCTGTGATCCAGACACCCTCCTTTTTCCCTATACCACCCAACAGCTGAAACTTTCTGCGCAGTGAACTATTTATAAATGCAATATAATACGATACAAAAATAAAACAAAGCATCATAAAATCACATTGAAGAATCAAAACCACAATTTAACAATAATTAAAACCAGTCCATATTAATGCCCTGCTGGCTATACCCAGCCCACCTATATGTACTATTTGGGGTGGTAAATGCCTCGGCAAAGCGGGGGGAGGATGAACCCGCCGACAGAAGGAGAGTAAGGTTGGCACCAGGCAGGCCTCGGGGGGAGATGATCCCAAATTCGGGGGCTGTTTTACTGCGGTCCTCACATTGCGAGACTTATTTCCTCGGGCTCTACACAGAGCTTTTCTTCCTCCTCCTCCGCCCCAAGATGGAAACTTAGTTCCAACTCTGAGAACAAAGTCAGGCTGGCTGCCTGGCAAGTTCAGAAGCGAACATTTCCCAGTTCCACGGAAAGGGTAGAGGAGCGCACTGGGCGGGGGTGAGGAGGAGGCTGCAGCTGGCTCGGAGCTCCGCTAGCCAGGCCTGTGGGAGCACAGAGATGGAGGCCTGGCTTGGCTTGGCTTGGCTGTGCCTTGCCTTACAGTGGCTCGCAGGCGGCTGCATCCAGCAGCTCGGCTCTCTGCTGAGCCTGCCTAGGCTGACAATGAATGGCTGCTGCTAGTGCTGCTTGGAGGGCTAGGGGAGCAGAGCCCCTCCATTGAGCGAGACCTTCCCTCCCCCCTTCTCTTTGCACAGGTGAGAGTGATGTCCCCCCGCTTTCCAAAGAGCTGGTCCCTCTGCGTCCCCGTACTGTGGTGCCGGCACCCCTCCGCCACCCTCCTCCAAATGCCTGTACCCCTCCCCCATTACCCTGGATGTGTAAACTTTCCTCTCCCCCATTAAGCAAGCCCCAAGCCTGCCTGATCCTTCAGAGTGGGAGCGGGGAGCAGCATCCTTAACGCAGCGGCTGCTGCCTGCGCCCATTTTCCTAGCTGGGAAGGCCACCTTTGGCTGCTCTCCCGCTTCTCTGTTCTCCCCCCCCCTCCATAGATCCCTAAGCACCCCTTCTCTTGTACTCAGTTGCACCCCAAATTGAATCCTGTTAGAGGGCTCCTGTGTTGGGGGTGCGGAAGTCAGGACGGGGTGCGCATCTCCGTCCCCCTGGCTAGGCCTTTTTGCCATCTACGACACCCCCTTCTTATAAAGGATGGGGAAATAATGCCCTCCGCCCTCACTTCGAGCCTGCAACGTGGTGAAACTCCGTATTTGCCCCGCAGCCGCGGTGTGGGTCTGTCTGTCCTCGCTAGACGGCCGGGAGGGTGCGGGCTTCAACTCTTAGCAGGCCTGTCCGAAATTCCCCGACGTTGCCTACAGGGGCTTTGTCCTCCTCCTCGCCTCGCTTCCTCGCACTCGGTCGCCAAGGGGAAGGGCGCAGCGGCGAGCAGCCTCAAGGAAAAGTTTGAGTTGGAGCCGCTTGGCATTTGGAGGAGAAGGCCCGGCCGGCTGGTTGGCTTGGAAACCCGGAATTCGGGGGCTTAGCTGGAGGATGCCTGGGGGGGGGAGGGGTGCGAAAATAATAGGGGAGGGGGCGACTCTTCGTCTTCTCCACTTCCAAAGTGAGGAATGCCTCATTTTCCACCAGTGTGAGCTTACGGTGTTCAAATCCGTGTCAGACAAAGGTCTTGACAGACAAGCCAAAGTGAAACGAAAGTTAGCCAAGTTTCACCTGTGGGTTTTTTGGTGGGGCAAGAAGAGAAAGTTAAGACTGCTGCTGAGCTGAAGAAAGATCAGGGCGGAATGTTTGGTGGGCACTTGGAAATGAAAGTTCACTGAGATTGGATTGATCTCAGTAAAGTTGCAGCCTTGGTTTACAACCTCTGATTTGCCTGGGGTGAAATTAAAGTTTTGCCTTGGACGGGGTGGGATTATGGTTATTGTGTCTAGGTTAATGCCTTATAGACATGGAGTGTGGAGTGAAATGTAATAACATGGGCTTAATGTGGACCTTGTTTTGAGCTCCTAAAGACACTTTTGTGGAAGTGGTGGAGCAAGCTCATGGTAAACAAATATTGTAAACATAGTAATTTGCTTCTGAGTTGGTCACCGTATGTTGTTTGTTTGCCAAAGTCTCTTTTCCCCCCTTCTTACTGAATTCCTGTTTGCCCTTTCAACTGCCAAGCTTATTCTGTCATATGATACAATTATTGCCTTGGAACATAATGATTTAATAGCAGAGAAGAACTGTAATACTCTTTTTCACAAGCATGTAAGCTCGTTAAAAATAGTGCAGCAATGTTGCAACAAAACTGATTTTAAATATAAGAAGATGAGAGGTATAAGGCATTAGGGGGTCTTCAGAAGTTAGCATCTGCTGTACATTGCCGTTAGGAGTGTTATATAAGGTAAAGCTATACTGAGAAAGCACTTTCCAAACAAGTCTGACTAGTTGGAAGGAGGTAATGTATAGACAGATGGTAGAATTCTGTCCCAAAGAGGCCCCTTAGCAATACTTGCAGCAGTGAATTACAGTTAGCAGTAATATATAAAGCAAGGCTTTATCATGAGACTGTAGTCCAAACCATGTTCTGTTAATAATGAGTTCTGTGCAAGGGAATAATAGAATCCTTGACCTAGAGGACATCTGTGTGTTGATTCAGAAGTTAATTCTACCTTACGTTCTAATGCATCTGTAGAGAGCTTTCTCCTAGAGTGTAAAGATCAAGCTCACTTTTAGCTGGCTAGGGTATTTGAATCCTTGGCTCGTTTCTGGGAGTAAGCCCCTGTGAGTACACCTGGACTTCCTAACTATTAAACATGTATAGAAGTGTGCTATAATGCTTTCATATAAAGATCTGTGATACCATACTGCTCAGGCTTGAGTGCAAAACCTTGTCAACTGATTCAAGGGGCTAGGATAAAATCTTTTAATCATAAACCATTATTTTTGTTCCTTTGCCTTTGGTTCATGTTAATCTGAGGTAGGTGTTCTGCGTCAGCGTGGTAGAAATTTGTTAACTGCTTCAGTTCGCTGGATCAGCTCCAGTTTATGTAAGAAACCTTGTCATTGGCATATGTGAAAATGTGCATTATTGTAATAGTCTGTTTTTAATAGTATATGATTAAACACAGAAGATAGAAAGGTTTTGCAAGGTGTGGTGGAGAGGGAACACAGAAAAACATGTCAAACTTGATTTTTTTTCTTAAAAGATACAATATGACAAAAATGAAATTTAGGGGGAACATTTTAAAGAATGTTCCATTCTCTTCCTCATTTCCAAGCACCTGGCCCCATACCTCTAGAGTTCTCCTTTCATGCCTTTTGGAGCTACTCATTTCAGAACTAGGACCCTGGAGTCTGCTGCCAGATTCCTGAAAACTGAAGACCCTGAGAAACAGTTTTGGCAACTTTTAAGACCTACAGAGACTGCTCTGCTATATCACAGGGTGCAGAAATGCTGTTCCCTTTCCCTCCCTGCTTCTTTCTTCCACTAGGCTATTTATCTTCGTAGTCTGTTCTATCCAGAATTGCAGCCTTAAAACAGCAATCTCTGTCCTGCCTCCTATTTTTCTATGCCTTGAAGAAGGCAGAGTACAGAGGACAAATCCCAAGCATAGAAAAATTCTCGCAGGTAATGATTTAATTTATTCATGGTTACTTTTGGTTGTGATAAGTACATGAACTATTGTATCACTTCTTAAATTTAAAACTTCATGCCCTGAACAGATAAGTTGAAACTTAAAACACTGTGTTCAGGTTCACTGGAAAAGTTTCAGATAATCAAAACAGTGAAGGGTTGGTTTGATAGTTACTTTAATTCTCTGATTTGTAAGATTGCAGCCTTTGACATTAATGGTCATCCATTGTAATCTTTGGAGATGTGTGATGTTTGCTGTAGAAGATATCTGGTGGCAACCTTATCTAAGCCTGAGGTCCTGTCCTCCTAAGGCCAAACACAGGCATAGAGAATTTGGGTGTGAGAATAGGATTATGTAGTAATACATGATACCAAACCAAATTAATGCATTTTTACTTTGGATATGAAGGCCATCTCAGTTTAAAGTTATCGAACTGGAAAAGATGTAGAGATGGAAAGGTATAGAAAGCCTTTCATTGGAACAGATAAGCAAAACCAAGGTGAATGTATGAGTCATGCATGCAAATAATGAATACAGTGTAAAAATGATAGACTCTTTCACATACTATAGCTAGTGGCTTTGCTAATTTAAATTATCATATAGCAACAATTTGTTTCCACATAGTAGAGTTTACCCTATTACACTATTTAAAACTGCAAACAAAATAACCATCTCTGTGTAATTAAGTTCAACAGAGAAGTTCAGAGCAACTTATGAGCGATAGAAATATCAACAGATGATATGATGATCAGGGTAGTGTTTCATTTGGCTGAAAGTGCTTCTGGTTCTGTAATTGCTACAGTCCAAGAAGAAGGCATAGAAAATTCTACTAAGTTGAGCAGATTTAGACTCTCCCAGATGGTCAGGTGTATGTTTGGTCTGACCTGGACTCTTAAACTTCTACTGTGGCATACAGATATTCTGTAGCAATAACAGAATGCAGTTTTGAAAAGTAAGGAATTAGTGTGAGATAGAGCAGAGGTAGATTTTAGTCCCAGCTGTTAAAGAATTTTTAAAAATCTGGCTTCAGAAAAAGACCAGAGGCCTTATTTTGGGAGATAGTTGTCATTTCCAGGTAACCTATGCAATGAAACAGGCATATCTAGTACAGCCTTTATTTATCCACTTGCCTGGTCATCATAGGTAACCTTCAATCAGACAAGTGCACTCAAGTCTATGAACTGAATTGAATAGGCTGGTAGAGGAGAGACAGACTGCTTCCCTTTCTTTTGTGGTAAGTAGTGAAACTCATCTAGCTGACGCAGAAAAGACAGATTGATAGTAACCATTTTTAAAAACAAAATTAGCCCACTCGGAGCCTGGTGGTATATGTTTCTGTATTGATAACTGAGGAGGGCTCCTCTTCCCTGTACACAGCAGGCCTTGGAGTGTCTCTTTTAATTTGCCAATAGAACGTGGGATATTTTCCAGAGCAGAGTTGTCTGCTGTATGAACTTAGCTGGTAGTGTTGGAACATCTGAAGGCATTTAAACCATCTTTGTCCAGTGCCTCCTGTGTCTACCACCAAGACCCCAAACTGTAAGGGACATCAGTATATAAGAACACAAGAGCTGGGCTGGATCAGACAAGGGTCCATCTAGTCCAATGGTTTGTTCATAGTGGCCAGTCAACTATCCACAGGAGTCCTCAGTTGGGACATGGCTGCAACAGCACCCTCCTGCCTGTGTTCCCCAGCAATTAGTGTATGCAGGGGTACTTCCTTTGATATTGGAGGTAGTATGTAGCCAGTCAGGACTGGTAGTGATTGATAACCTTCTCCTCCAATCCCCTTTTAAAGTCCTCCAGACTACATCTTGTGGAAGAGCACTCTATAGTTTAACTGAAAAAGTACGTTATGTGTCCTTTAATCTCCCAGCATTCAGCTCCAAAGGATTACCCTGGGGTATAGTATTATGAAATAAGAGAAGAAAATATTTATCTATCCAATTACTGTACACCATGCATAATTTTGTGCAACCTTGTCATGTCTTCTTTTAACTCACCATTTTAAAGCTAAACAATCCTAGATGTTGTAACCTTTCCTCATTGGAGAGTTGCTCCAATCTGTTGATCATTTTAGTTGTCCTTTCCTGCATTTTTTTCCAGCTCTACAATATCCT